CTGCTTGATTGTAATCTAAAAATATTTCAGTCTAAAGTATGCTTTGGTTAGAGAGCGTTAATAGAATTATTTGTTGATTGATTATTTAGCTGATAAATCCTGTTTCATTTGACAAATGATATTCACTTATATTGTAATTATAATTATTTATATTCTTAGCAATTTATAGATAAATTTCGTTACAATGCAAAACGTGCATCCCTCGTACAAAGTAGAATTAAGCATTTAGAAAAGTTGCCACCATTAATTCCTCCTGAAAAAGAATTGAAAGTTGTGATTCGACTGCCTGATTGTGAGAAACTTTCTCCTCCATTGTTACAACTTGATGAAGTCTGTTTTCATTATGTACTGGACAAACCAATTTTAAATCATGTCAATTTGAGCATTTCACCAGATTCACGAATCAGCATTGTAAGTTATTAAACTGTACAATTATTAGGTTAAATAAAAATGATTTTATATATATATATATATATATATATATATATATATATATATATATATATATATATATATATAAAGGTTACTAATTTCATGGAACTGGTAATAAAGTGATAGTAAATAGCTTACATAAATATACTAATTACAAACAATCAACAATATCAAAAATGCGGCTATGTCCATAGTTTAAAATATTCACTTTTCATGTCAGATAAGTCACATCGAGCTTCGTTGATTAAAAACTGTAAATATTATCTTTTGAGTGTCAGTTCGTTAGTTTATAAATTTCCTAATAAATTTTCCAATTAATGAATATAATTCATTTATCCAGTTTACTTTATATATACTCTGTTTTGAGATGTACTTTAAATGTAAGGATTATTGATTTCATCTGGTTGCACGAAATCACTAAACAAGGTAAAGGGGGGCTTAAACCTGAAAGCTTGTGGTTAAATGTATTTATTTATTTGAAGTGCATAAATTCTGGTGTAGTATAGTTCCGAAAATGTACCACATAAAAGAAATGATAATATAATGAAGAAATAAAAGAGAAAATCCCATTAAAATCAATTTATAAATGAACAAGGGTAGTATATGATAAGACAGTTCTGTTAAACAGATAACAATTAAAGAATTCCTTCAGTCAAGAAAATTTGTCTAACGTTTATGCAGAATATAACAGAAAACTAAATCAGGATTGCCACTGGTTTCTATTGTAAGCCGAGGCATGTCTGATAACGTCTGAAATCATTGGGTTACACCATCTCTAGAATCTCAAAGAGAGTCTTCATGGACTGACAGATGCCTGTCCTTTAAAGCTTTCTTTAATACCACAGCACTATGCTATAGACCGACCATCTCTCCACTTTTTCCAATCAGCCTCATAGTTGGCAAATGACGCACGACGCGAAAGCTGCTGGGATGACATTCGTGATACATGTTCGAGCTACCGAGGATGGTTTTTCAAGATTGTGCTTCCAATCGATTTATCGTCACCGTGCCCTAACATATTGCCGAACCTCCTCATTACTAACATAGCGTTACCACTAAATGTCAGCAATCCTTCGAAGACAACAATGTTCTAACACAAAGTCGCCCAACATTCTCGATTTGCAGAGACTAGGTTTTGCAGACATACAAAAAACTGCTCTCACCGATGCCTTTTACACCAGACGTTTTACGACCGAACTAACATGATGGTGGTTCCAAAGATAACCCAGATTAGCTTAATCCACTTTGGCTTTCACTGTACGTAAATTGATTTTTATCTGACCTGCTACTGCAAGCACTCACCCAACTGCTCAAATAAATGAACTTTTTGACTATTAAAAGTTAATGACAAAGTGAGTGCAGACCACTGGTTGGAATTCAATGAACAAATATTAACTAGTATTGTGGGTTTTAATTTCATTCCTAAACGACACAGACTTAACTTATTTTCATCTTCCAGCACTTTCTTTTTGGGTTACTAATGGATTTCTTAGATTTTATTCTACTTCAATTTTTGTTAGTTCATTTAGTGAATTATTCTTATTGATCTTTGTCAACTGTTTTCTTATTCAGGTTGGTGAGAACGGTGCAGGTAAAACAACATTACTTCGGCTTCTTTTAGGTGATTTAGAACCAACTTCAGGATTACGCCACGCACATCGTAGTTTACGTATTGGCTACTTTAGCCAACATCATGTTGACCAGCTGGATTTAAAATTAAGCAGTTTAGAATTTTTGATGAGAAAGTTCCCAAATCAGACTGAACAGGTTTATCGTTCCCAGTTGGCGAATTTCAATATAACGGAAATGCTTGCTCTTCAACCAATCGGTAGTTTGTCAGGAGGACAAAAATCAAGAGTTGCATTTGTTGCTATGTGTATGTCCAAGTAAGTTTTACGGCAACTAATGACAGTTTTTATTTTTATTTTGGTAACCACATAAAATTATATTATAATGACTCACTAATCGATTGTACTATGTTAAACTGACCCACACAGTTTACATTTTCTATTCGTCATTCTACTCCTATACAGCTCATGTGAAATTTTTACCCAGTACCAGTATCTATCACATTAACTGTAGCAACATTCTCTTTAGTCATTTCTAGTGAGTACATGGATAGTTACTTAAGCTTCATTTTCAGTAATTGTATTACAACTGTACAATGCAACACAGCAGGTCACTGCGTTTTGTACCTAGGAGAGAGACAGATACGAAAACACCAGATCTTGCACAAAAGTGCTTTACTTCAAATTGTCGTATTTCTCAAGTTCATAAGGGCTGAGAACAATCAGTAAAACAAGTCAAAAAAATACCTCAAATAGAGCTGAATCGATGTATAAAGAATAATGTTTGAGAAAATATTAGATGGTCTGTCCATCGGAGGTAATGAAACTCTGAATTTAGGTGAGAAGTTTACTGCTATTATCATTATCAACCGTAACAATCCAACTAGTAGTGGTTGGAAGACTTATTAGATATGAATTTAAATCAATGAACAAAGTTATAAACACACCCAAACCAACATATTTAACAATGATGCGCAACATCTATTGTATCAAGTCTAATAGTAGTATTGTTTGAATCCTATTAGGTGTACATAGTGGTTAGAAACAAAATTCTTATACTACCCAACAGTGACCGTAGTCTATTAAAATGCATAGACACATTAATAATAATAATTTAATACGGCTTGCCTTAATGAAATTGGCTAGTTTGAAGCAGTAATGTTTTGTAGGAAGTACGTCCTATGCAAATAAAATTAAAAACGGTGAAATGAATTATTTCTCACTGATCTTTAACTAACTAGCTGGGGAATAACAAAAATCAACTGTTGTTTGAACTAATGACGAGATCGCAACTTTGACTGATGCCTACATTTGCTAGACTAATTTGATAGGTTTATCGATCACGAATATATTGATATCATGTGGTTGTCCTACATGTACAGTTAACCATTAACTAGGTAAACGTGGTCTTGTTTGTACACTTGTATTTAGCTATGTAGAATATTGGTACATTTCCTATTATTTAAAAAGATTTACAGACCTACATAGGAAGTTCATTTTCTGTCCTTTCAATTTTTAGTCCAAATATGCTTGTTCTCGATGAACCGACAAATCATCTAGATGTAGAAACGATTGCAGGCTTATCTGATGCTTTGGTTAATTTTCCCGGTGGAGTTGTACTTGTTTCACATGACGAACGTCTAATTCAAGCTGTATGTAATGAAGTATGGGTGTGTACACGCATGGGCATAAGTCCTGTTGACAGTGCTAAAGGAAGTCGTGTATATTCATTACCAGGTGGTTTGGAAGAATACAAAAAAGCTGTTCGAGTTGAACTGGTTCAACTAAAATTGTAGTCTATTAAGATGAAATTTGTATGAAATATCCTGACATTTTATTATTATGTAATTCTTCAAGATGGATTATAATTTTGGCTGTGCTTCATTATTCTTCATCTGTTTGCTTTCAGTGAAATTCCTTTACTTGGAATAGATATGGCTTATTTTTTGTTTGTTTTACTTATTCAGCTGCAGTTATTTACTGTCTTTTGTTAAGACACATTTGGGTGTTTCCTAATACACTGCGTCTTTTTTGCGTCCGTCAGCTAGTTTATTTAAAAACCGCAGTTGGAAAACCTCATTTGCCATGTCCAGGTTTATTTGGTCAGCTTTGAGTTACATAGTTTACTAGAAGCCTAGCTAGTGGTACTACCGGGCTGCTAAAACTGAACTAGTTCGGAGGGAGTCCAGACGTCGGGTTTGCAGTAGGACAGTAACAGTCAACATATGCAAACTAACCATAAAGTCGAAGAGGTAGATATTATGATTTATCATAAAAGAACTTGTTAACGATGCATGAAGTGAAGACGTTTTAGCGAAAAGGTTTTTTCGAATATCACATTCACCAGAGTCATACAACCCTACTTAAAATTACTTTTTTTATATATAGTGGGGTGTAATATAAATAAAGTTTAATGTGTCATTAACAGAGCCACTAAAAGTCGGTCAGAATCCTAAGCTACGTATCAGTCAGATGGTATTAATGATGAGATAACATATAGGAACGAGATGTGAAATATTATCCACCAGATTATAACGAAAATGAAAATATGGACGAACAGGAGTCCATCCTGCATGTAAAAAATAACTATAGATATTATTGTACAGCTTTAGTAAATGATCATCCAAAATAGTTTTCTTCACCGAAAACTTACGATTTTGTTGATTGATTCAATGGTTTTCTTTCGTTATTTCGAAGTCTTTAATTGTGCTACTGCAACAGTGGTACAGAGTACGATCATCGAAGATTTCCTAACCACAGACTTATGAATTAGTATACTAGACAATAATCCCAGTAATCATCTGTGCTAATGTGGTATGGCAACTCAAACTGATGTACGTACGAAGTTCTACGTTGTTATTTACTGACTGAATCCTTTGAGATACCTACGTCATTTAGTGTATACAACTTAATATCATGTTTCGTTTTTTCTGTTAATAGTCGAAATCATTGACTTACAATAACACTATTCCTCAGTCGATAAATAAATACATAAAAAATTTGAAATATCTAGAAAATTTATGCACAGTAAGAAAACTGTTGTTCATTATTATTAACAAGCTTGATAATTGTACACAACCCACTAGAAACTCAATCTGGCCTTTGTTTTTATTCTTTGATGAATAAATAAAAATAAGCCACATCATTGAAATTACAATTTAAGGGAAAAGCAAAATAAGCTGAAGAATAGAAAATAGAAGTGAAACTGAATGGAATTAATAACAATAATAACAGCAGCAACAACATTGCAGAGTGATCATAATAAAGGAGGGCGGGAAATAGAGAAAAAAGGGGTTTTATTCAAGTTCGCAAAAATCACAAAATTTACATCCAATGTACTCTCATAAATAATTGGCTGAGCATTAAAGATAAATGAGGTTATAACGAAAGACATATCAGTTAAATGAATATTTATCTGAAGTTAGTTAATGTGCGAAAAAAATGGTTTAAAAGTGAACAGTAACAGGAGAAAGGCAAATAATTAAGTGTTTCAAAATTAAAAAGTTCTCATCTTTCATAATTTATACACTTTTTGACGTGTTTATGTGCAAGCGGAATAAAAAGATCTATCTTTTATCATTTATTACATTTTTTTATTATAAGCCGTAAGTATTCTTCCACTTTTGTTCATCTTCAACTTTAGCTTCAGGTCTAAGTTGGTTACGTAAACCCCCGAGAATATTTGCTGTTACCTGTAAAGATTGATGATAAGAAAAAACGATAATGACAATTTTGTTACAATATTTGAATGACAAACAATTATATGGACAGAAAATATTTAGTGATAAGATTTATGGTAACAGATTACAGAACTTAATGATTCTCATTATATAATAAAATTGTTGTACAGGTAGTAACCAGAAGATTAGAAGTAATTTTCAGCCTGCCAGGTTCTAGCTCTATTCGATACTCTTATCATCCTGAGGAAAGAAGTCTTCTTCACTACGATACAGTTGATCATCTGGATAAATAACTAAATTTAATTTATAGCTTATGTTGTGCGGTCGTACGGTCAGATACTCATATAAAAGTTTTCTAATATGAGCCCCACCAGCTGTTTGAGTGAAGAAAACTGAGTGAGCAGGAAGCCCTTTACTGACTAAGCGACTCGAGCATGAATCCATCGCTCCCTCGAAAACGGGTACATATCTTTCAGAAAGTGAAGCCATACTTTCAACTAGTAGCGTGGGCTCGTCTGATTGACCAACCATTTCAACTTTTCTGAAAAAGAAATCTGGAAGGGATTGGGTGGGGGGGTGTCGATGGTAGTATATCAAAAAGGTAATTGAAAAGCACTAATGAAAAGGTCATACTTAGAAAAAATCTTGCAAACATGTCACATGGTTGTTATTACTGGTTGTGTTTGGCAGAACGTCTACGCATCCAGCAATGAACATTTTAGCGAATCATACAAACAGCAGTATAAAGCTCAAAGAGGGAAGAGAAAAATAATTCAATTCATTGTGCTTACTTCACAGCTGGCCACTATGGGCGTGACCATAGTTGGTGGTATTTGACGTAACACATCACCAACCATTCCAACTGGACCTTTATATCCAATTTCTACTTCTGATGGTAATGCAGTAGCACCACACAAATCTTCTGCTACCATTTGAAATCCTCGCGTCAATACATTTACAGCATTACCAAATCCTTCGCGTATATCAGCTGGTTGTCTTAAATATAATCGTCGACTACGTAAAGCTGGTCCTGGTGTAACTAAATCGTAAGCCGTCTAAATTATGAAAAGAAAAATAACAAATATATAATTTATTATGATGTAAAAGACACGTAACTAATTCCTATTCAATATTGATCGCTAACAAACAAACAGCAAAAGTATTTAGAAGGTACGAATCAACTAGAAAATAAATAATGTGATGTTACTAATTTACACCAAGATAAATATTGATTGTATCTCTTCCAATGAGATCGATTATAATTTGAAACTTGTACTTTCGAGATAAAATCGAATGTTTAGTTATTCATTCATTGGCCATGTGTTGAATGTAAAAACGCACGGGTAAACTAATCTTACTCAATTCTTGATTATTACCAGGAAAGAAATATCGACGGAACAGTACTCAAGTTATGGTTTTTATCCTGTTAGTTACAAAAGTTGTTTGGTTAAAACCTTATTTAACAGGGCTAGGAGATTGTGTTCAGCTATAAAATACAAGAAGAAATAGCATACATTCATGAGTATCTTATTAAAATGATGTCTGAAGAAATTTATCGTGAAGTAGGGGAAAATGTCTGGAAGGAAGTAAAGTATTCGCAAGTGCGACCGGTGATGTGGTGTTCCAACCAGATTGGTTGATAGACCCTTTTTTTAGCGAGGCCTGTAGGCTCTTCTGGGATGGATTCCGTGTTTTCAAGGCTCACAAACCCACTGCGTGGATGTGATTTTATGGCGAATCACAACCCCACAGGTCTTTGCTTGTATGTAGGTATCGTGATATGGAGACCAAGTAAAGGATTCTTTGGAGTTTTTGCTTACTCTGGATAAGTATAGTCTACATGCATAGTAGGTAACACACAGACTTTCATCCGAGTATTCCTTGGTATACATACAGATATACCTACTCTGTGAGCAAATATACGTTACATGCACACCGATAGCACAGATTTTATCCCATGCATCCTGTAGCATACATATAGGTGTATTCACCCACTTCGGAGGCTAGATGTTCACCGGTCCCTTGAAAACATATTTGCTACAACAGACTGTCTCTTACACATTACATTCATATCATTCAGCCCATGATTACCATCCCAGTATTTTCTGAAATACACCTAAACATAAGTGAGACCACCAGACAGCGGATAGTGGATACTGTTATGGCTGTATGGCCTTATTAATATACTATGTAGTACGATCGCCAATTAGAAAACACCAACTTAACAAATGGATCGATGACGCATAAACCTGTATGAGTAGCCTAGAGTTCTTAATGGTCCTCTGAGATGCAAGAACAAGCCAGAGGTTATTTGATGTTAGAATCAAGGAAACATTAAGGATGGGTGGTGTAATAGTTGAGTGGAGTTCAGAGACAGATAAGATAGATTGTGGGATAATTTTAGAGGTAATGAAGGATTCATGGAATTAAAAACTGATAAGATGAATTACGTAGTAATTGAATAGAATTTGAAGAGTTCACATAATTTAAGAGGATCAATGTAAAATTCTAATACATATTTGGTTGTAAGCAGCTGACGAAAAACCTCAAAATAAAATAAATTCATATTATTCTGCATCAATATTTGTTCTGGCTTTATTTAAACCTCTCATTGCCAAGGTAAGATAGCTAAATTATGTTGACGTTTGTCAGTTAATATTTTTAATCATAAACATCCATTGATAAATAAAACGGAACTAGAAATCTATTTAAGTTTCGAAATATACAACAGGAATTATATGTTCATTATTGTACACACATTTTAAATAAACTAAATCAATATGAAACTCACTTCTGCAATAGATTGGAGAGCTCTTATACCTTGAATACTCAACTGTAAGGTAGCCCATAGAGTACTTGTTGAAAATGATCGTGTGCCTCTTCTAAGACCATGAATAATTCCGCTTCGATTGGTACCACAAGATGTATCTGTAAGCGTATATTCTCTACTATGACAAATTTCATTACGAAGCTGATGAGGTTTTTTAAACAGACCCAATTTACAAACAGCTGTACCAACATGACCAGAATCCAATGATGTATTAGGTAATTCAGCCGTCCCATAGAAGCTGCAAACAGGTTGATAGACCAGATCCCATAAACCGAGAACTGAAATATAAGAATAAGATTTAGGTGTGTATTACGACAGTACACGTGAAGAACCAATAGTGCACGATCTAACAGCAATAATACCCTTGTTATCTAAATCTAGCGTAATCGATACACTGCTGAGAGTTCATATAACGATGTAAAAATCACATTAGAGTGCTTTTCAATGGAATAACCTATTAGGTTTAAGAAACAATGAAAAACTTAATAGATAATTGGAATGATAAAGAAAAAGTCAGATTTATCTGTAAGATAAATCTAGATCTTGTGTTATGAACAAACGGTCGTGGACCAATATTTGCGAACTTAATAATATTTGTGAGGAGACGGCCGGTTTCATTTATGTGAAGGTGTAACTTAACACCTGAAGATATTTGTGAACATATCTCTTATTGGATACATATGAACAATACAAGATGTAATTGGATGAGTTTCTAGGTTATTTATAACGCTGGGAAAAATGGAGCCAAGGTTCACAATTCTCAATAAGTGTTTTCGAACATGCTCCAGACGAACTAGTCCCATCAAAGGTGAGGAGAGTCATCTCTCTTGAAATGTCTTCATACAGCACCGCATTTATAATCTCATTCAAAGAAGCCTTAAAATATGAGAGTTCATAAGAGCAAAAGGGTGAGAGCAGACATATGGCGCTTACATCCGGCCAATGGAGGAAGAACACGTAGGAGAGTTAGGGAGCCATTATTCTAAACCAGTTGTACACAGAGGCTATAGAATCCTAAGGGGATGGATAGCATTTAAACCTACTACGGTTATTGAATAACATGAGATCGCATTACTTGACGCTTCTACATCGCCTAGAGAATATGGCTTTTGAAGAAACTACGTGCTTCGTTTCGGGCGATCGGACAGTATCACAGCTATTATATAATTAATGATGGTTACTAATAAAGATAACAGACTACTTCGCGTGTCCAGATTTCAAATACTTGTTACTAACCTTAATCCACAACATTATTGTGATCACATCACACTTCGTTAACTTAGTCACAACGAATTTCTTGACTGACAGATTGAAACTTATGTTAAGCAATAGAGAGTAATGATGTGAAAACTCATGTAATAGGAGGACAGTGTATTTCCTGAAAATATATTGGATGTTAGAAAAAGACAAATATGATGTAATAATTAAATGATTAATTTGTTTGTCATGCATAAATGATTCAGTTATTGTTAAGATTAAACTGTTTTATTTGTACCAAAACATGATCTCATCCGTCAATTATCGTAATTAGTTAAACAGGGTAGAAAATCTGGTTTCCTCAAATTAATTACGTGACTAGAACAGTAGTCATAACGATGTCATATTTTTATCTCTATGTATTTGGTGAAATTAAAATTCACATTCAACAATAAATTTTTCAAGAAATATCAACTCGATTATTTTATGATAGGGGGGTTGGTTAGGATTCTTAATTTACTCCATCGAATGAAAAAAATACTCTGGTTGTGTTTCGTTAGCAATTAATCGATTATACTTCACCTTTAATCATTAAAATCACAGTCTGTCAGTCAGAATTGTTCTAAATAATTTAACTAAGAATTGGTTATTAGTTCTGATTTACATTTAGATCAGAATAAAGAGAGTATAGTCAGTCAATCAGTATGAAAGTGAAAGCAATCATAGTAACACTGAAATGAAAGAATCCAGTAAGAATTGAAACTGTAAATAGCTTGAATGAATACTCAGTCATCCTAGAACGATGATAAATTATTTTTATGATCAGTACAATGTAGACAACAAAAGTACCACTTAAATAACGTTTATTACTTAATTTTCATATACAAAATATTATTCAGACGAGAAATAAAATATAACTGATCAGTTCAATGTAACTTACGAAATTGTGTTACTTCATGCATTGGACCAAAACTAGTTACAATAGCATGAGGTAGTTGTGCTGAGATAATAGAACTTAAATCTTCTACAACTTCTTCAATTAATCTATCGAAACTTTGATAACCACGTTGATAAACACGTCGAGGGATTGTGAATTCAGCATTCGTTAATTGAAGAAGCATTGCAAGTAAACCATGAAATGAACCCTGTTAAATAATACAGTGTATAATGTAAATTCTTGATTGAATAAAAACAAAATAAAAATAAAGTAAAACATCGTAGCCTATATCTAAATTCATTCTGAAACTGATCTGATATTGATCAATTAATAAACGGTATCAATAACACATTACATGTAGATGAAAACCGGCGATTTTAACAGTTTCTACTATAATGTAAAATGCAGGAATTTTCTATTTGGGCACAATATAATACAACAGAATGAAATGGTTACTAGATTGAACGATCACGTGAAATATTTATACACAAATTCATATAATATTCGACCCAAGACTAAGAATCAAATTATACGAGATAGAACAATTCATTTATACAAAGTACAAGCAGTCCCTTTACAGTGAAGCACAGAGAAGAATAACAAACGGAAAGGAATTGAAAACACTAAATAATTTCGTAAACAATAAGTAGGTTTGATAGTATATCTTCGTTCACTAGCCAATCACGATTCATTACAAAATTAATTTCTTCGAGATATAATGAACTTTGAGCGTGTATAATGCTGAGACAAAAGCAACTGTTTAGATCCCTCTAGTTTATAATGCCTCTTAAACAGTTACTACAATTCAATGAACGGAATCAAATCGTATAATTCTTATATAAAGAAGTATTTTTCAACAACGTAAACAGGTAGATAACATCTAGAAAGAATAATGATGTTCAAAGTTTTCAAATAACAATAATGTTAATCTGATAAGTGTAAATTCTAAATAAAACCTTCTAAAAGCGAAAATACTCAAATAAACAGAAGAAAGTTCTTGATTACACAATTGATTACCAATAGTATGAAGAATTACCGAATGATTAGCAAACTAACGAGGCTAAGTGATGACTTATGAGCTTTTGGTAAGCTATTCTACTGGCAGCAGTTATCTTACACAAGAGCTGTAACTAATAGTTGCATTTACGAAGTCACAAGATATAAGTAAAAGGTAATGAAAGAAGGGTTTTATGACTAGACCAATCTTTACTGATCACAACCAGATTAATAATAATAATAATAATAATAATAATAATAATAATAATAATAATAATAATAATAATAATAATAATAATAATAATAATAATAATAGTAATAATAGGAATTCAGATTTCTCTTGTTTACCCCACTCAAATCCAAACGTCTTCCGTGATAATCAAGGTGAATAGATAAGTCAGGGTAGAAAGTGAATTTTCTGAAATTTGAAAAAAATCAGAAAAATGTTATTTATTTAGATAATTAGTTTATCAAGAAAAAACCTTTGAATAACTAACGATTATTGGGTAATTTTAACAGTTGAATTCACAAGTCGATGTAAACTAGACCATCATTTAAAGCCTGGAAGCACTGGATGGCCGTTTCGTTCTCGTACGGGACTCCTCAGCAGTGCGCATCCATGATCCCGCATGTGGGATTCAGGTCTAGCTTACATCGAATCATGAATTCAACTATTAAAATCACTACAGTCTCCACAAACCCCCATTCTAATATTGGATAGTTCCCAATATGTTTCAAAGTATAATTGCAATAGATAACACTAATTAGACATTTGACATAATTTTCATGTTAAGTTGTGCATATGAATTATTAGATTTCCCACTGAATGTTTGGAAAAATTATATACTCATCATGTGACCTGAATTCAATCCACAGTGAAGTTATTGATGGGTATTGTTTCAGAGTCTTAAACTATGATGAAACGCTTATTCAGTACTTGGTGGTTTTCAATGGTTATTTAATTGATAACAATCCATGACATAAACTGTCTCATCATTGAAGACTTTTATTAGGGTTATTTTCTTTGAACTTCTTAATCATACAAGAAATGGTTTAAGTTCGAAAATGACATTTATTCAATGCAAAATCTTGTTATGAATACAGAGGAATCGGTTTACAATTACTAAGTAATGCAATTTTCAGAGATTATGAGATATATATTATTACATTAAGGATTATAACTGTACGGAATTGGTGAAATGAATAAAGTTGAATTAAAGGTAAATGATAAAGGGACATTATATATATTGCACAGACACTGTTTTCACAGTATCAGACACACACACATTGTAAGAAAAGCTATTGAGTACTTCTGAGTCTAGATTTGCTGTGCTTATTGAGCAAATACTATTGATTGATATTTTAGTAACATTAGTGTATGAGATATGAGTTACTCTGTGCCTTATTTCTACCTAATCGTGGTATCATTAAATGAATTTGTCTATTCTATTTAATTATATTTGATATCTGATGCATGGAGGCAAACAATATTAGAAGAATATGTGGTAACTGGGCTTACGGAGAGTTATTCATTAGTCGTATAGCCAAGTTGTACTACATATGAACACGGTTACGATTTTCAAAAGAACTATACACATGTTTTTAAAGGGCTTAGGCTAGTACGAAAATGATGTTACAAATTTTCAATTAACTGCACGTAAATATCAGAAGTAACAATTGAAATTTTAACTCCCCTCCAAAAAACAAACAAACAAACACTAACCTTATAAATAAAACAGGCTGATTATGTTCGATAGGGTCCATTGGAAAGTAAACTGGACGAACTAAATTACTCTGTGGTAAAGGAACTGTATTAACATTATCATTGTATTGCTTCAAATGAGACTGGGCTGAATTATTTGGATTGACATTAGGACTTGAAGCTAAGCCATATTGAGTACATATTTGAGTTGGAGATCTAAACTCCAAACTTGATATAGATTGTCCCATCTGAAAGTTGTCTGATTCTCTCGAAGAAGCAGTGAGCAACCTTTTGAAATTTTCTTGATATTCGTATAAAAACAGCAGTGTATACTAGGGAAGATCATAAGAGTGGAAGGGAGAAAGTTAAACCAATAAAAGTGCTCACCTAAATGAATGTAGTTGTAGATAATTACAATGACCCAGTCATTATTGAAATCTTTCAGCGCTAATCTCCATAGTGCATAGCATAAGTAATGATTCCCCATTCATAAAAACAGTAATTTTATAAGCATTTAATAGCTTTAAAGAGATTTCGTTCAACATGCAAAACAGGTGTCCATAAGACAGCTTCCATAAAAGGAATTAATGATTATGTCAAGCTGACTGAAATCAGTGGACAATTGTTATGAAACTTTCCAAGACCAATCAAGAAAAGTACGCCTATGAAAAACTATCTCATTTATGCCAGACAACTATTTTTAAGTACCTAGAAAATGTTACACTGTATTGTCTTGAAAACAAATCAAAATATGACAACTAACATTAAGTTTTTCACATCGGTTCGATGAAAACAATTCAAATTTCCCTTTTGCAATCTGGCTACTTTAAATATTATACAAAATACCACACAAAATCTTTGTATCTTTTCTAAGTTTTTATACTACTGTGAATTAGTATGTAGAAGTGATGTGCCGAAATTTGATTAAGTACATTTTCAGTTTGTTAGCGATATGAAAACTTTGTACGATTAAAAAAGGAAATTACAGACTTTGGATTAGATAGATATTTTACAGTGATGTCAACATACATGAAAAAACAATGAAACAGTTATGTTGTATCAAGGCATCCCAGATATTAAAGGTGTTGATGGTCAGAATTGAATGTAACAGCTCTGATAACATAATAGAAACTTACTTGATCTAAATTAATTTTCAATGGTTGAATAGATAGTTTAATTTCCACTTCAAGATTGTTAGGTTGTGGTAAATAAATATAATCGAAATTTTTCATAGATTTTAATTGTGTTATATTCATTGAACAATCATTTGATACATTGTCTTCATCTTCTGTATCATTATTATCATCAATGTTAACATTTTCTCCTTTTCTTACAAATTTTTCATTGTCAACTTTGCTTTTTTCTACTCTTTGTTGTTGAGATAATAATGAAATATTATCCTGTTCTAAATGACTTGGTATAACTGGCCAACAGACAACAACCATACGTAACATTGGTGTATCTAAATTATGCGGTAGCAAATTGATACTTGGTGAATAGTTTCGATTATATGAGTAAAGTAATTGATTGACATTTGAACTACTAACATGATCAACTATTACAACAGATGGGATATGAATAATTAAACGTTGAAATGGATCTACAGTTAGACTGAATAAATTATGTGATGAACTCAGTTGTTGTCCTTGATGCTGATGAATTGATTTTTTCATGCGAGCTGGGAACTTCGCTTGTCGAAAGTATAATTTTGAGATATTGAATGAAATACACTATAAAAGGATTGATAAGATAGAAATATGTTAAAATGTGTATCACTAGTAGATCACAAAAATATTATAATGTTTCAATTCAATACAGAAAGAAAAATATATATTTCGACGAGTGACTAACAGTAGAATGTATATTTTGTACCACTTACCACTTGTGTCAATTAGATGTACCTAAATCTTAATGCTGATTTCCCTAGTGTGATTTATTCTTAGTGACCAACGACTCTAGATTGTTATCCGATGAACTACTGAGTCATGATAGCCAATAACTTGTTCAGAGGGGTGTGGTATTTATTTTCAACTGTGAGCGTTTGTGTTCAAGATTGAATTGAACCGCCTCTGCGTATAAGCCACTTGAAAAAGTACTTTGACATTACTTCTACTTAGGTCCGTTTCTCGCTGAGATTTAAAATAAAACCTGTAAATACAGACGATATCAAGGCATCTGTTCATGTAGCTCATTTATCAACACAAACTGGTAGGTTTATTTACTGAATAACAACAACGAGAGAAATGTGCCCTAACAATTAACAGCAAACAAGATAGAAAGATTATAGATGTGAGTTCTTTGAAGAAATAATAAAAAAAATGACAAAATTATGTAAATTTGATCAAAGGAAGATAAATAGGACTGTACATTGAAATTTAAATGCAACTAAGTTGAGTTGTGTGAGTGACTGATTGATTAATAATTTTTATCCAAGATAGTTTTAGTTGAACTGAGAGCGAATACTTTCAACTAGTATGTTGATATGGAGGATCCACCTAGAGGAGTTGGATAACCCTGATTCCATACCAGTGGTGCACATGTGCTCCAGGATCCTAAGGAAACAAATGGCGTATGAACTCATTGTTGGTCACCGGCTACCGTCGGACTGCATCTCCTAACGTTGCTTCACTGCCTTATGGATTAGACCTTCAGGTTAAAGACTCGGGAAGTGGCCCCCTAAGAAAACCACCTGCTTCTGTTTGGGTACCCGGGAGTATTCCAGCCCTCACAAAAACCGAATGGTTTGTGTGGCGCATATATATATATATATATATCTGGTGCGTCGTACCAATGTTTATGTCTTTAAATAAATAAATAAGTGGCAAATCTAAGGTGTTGTGAACGTAATCGTTCACTGGAAGAATAACACAATGATACCAAACAAGACTGTAAACTATCGAAAACGACGTTAGAGTTCATTTAGCGACTCAAGATATCTGTTTTGAGGCCTATATTTCAATACATACCAACAAAATGTGTGTGTTTAATTAATGTACAATGATTCTCAACTTTGACCAGTACAGAAATAGTTACTTTATTTCAGGATAACAACTATAAGTTTCATGAATATCAAATCTTACTCAAATGACGATAACTTAACGAACTGAAAAGACAGACAGGTATAACAGAGAACTTGGCAAAAGTGTTAAACAAAGTGGAACAATAATGAATTCCAGTTCTACTAAATGAAGATAGTAAATTAAAAACTGCACGTAGAATAAACTTGATACCGTTTGTGTATTTTATTTAGATTAACATCAGTCAGTGGATAAACAGCAAGAAACCATTTTCATATTGCAAAATGTGGAAAAAAGTCCAGATCAGCAGTCCAATGTTTCCGGCTATTGGTTACGATAAACATGCTGACACAAAACAGGTAGTTTACACCTATCTACAAAACTCAGTTTAACAGTCTATGGGTTTATGGACTGATGCCAAGTCTTGGTTTGGTCGTCCCTGGCTTTCTTCCAACCCACTAGTACGCCAGAAAACTTAGTGAGTTGATGTAGGGGTGATTAGGAATACAAATACATTTTCCGAAAAAGTTAATCAATGAGAATTCCGATAATGTAATAAGACGAAGATTATCAGAACTATGTGACATATTAGCGCAATACATTTCGAACAATGAGAATTCACTACCTCATCAACCGAGTTGCAATCTTTGTCCAATATTCTGCGTCTAACCTCAGTATTGGCCATTTTAGATTCAAAGGTATCAGTCAATCAGCTACAAAGTAGGACCAGGTACATATATGCATCGGTCCAAGTTGCCACACCTGAATAGCACAAGATCAACACCAAGTTCATAGACGTAGTTACTTCAATGGTAGTAATATATAAAATGAATATTGTGTGCAAAGATATAACACAGGAAGAAAGAATTAGTTTGTAGAAAGAAAGGTGTAAAGCAATTTTAATCTCACGGTTTAAGGGCAGATAAAGGTTGTATACACCGACGCTATTGTGATCGATTGTGAGCCATGTCACCCAGAATCAATAACCCTTGATTATGAGAAAGTATCATGGTCAAGTACTAGTAGTCTACGAATATCCTTTGCTCTTAAAGGACATATTTTAAAATCACTAACTAAAACAGAGCAGACTGTGTGTAGTATATGTATCCTTTGGTTGGCAGAGCTACATTTCGCACACACCACAGGAGATGAAAGTTGTTTTGCTAGGAGCTTTTGAAGAGTTTCCATTGGGTGCTGATTGGACGAAATTTTTCTAGGCTCTCAAGAATAAGTTAACAGAATTAACGTTATTTACTAAAAATGGATATCAACTTTCGTATATTTGAAAAGAAGTAAAACTTACATTATCAAGCTGACGTCCTGGGCCACCTTGTGAATACAATGTTAAACGAGAACGGATACCTTTTGAATCCTTGGGTGATTGTAACGAAATATTTTCCGAACGTGAATCATTCGAATGCATACGAACAGGACCACTGGCACCGACACTACCACTACTACTTGGTTTATTAATAAGCGGTTGACCATGACGAAAACGATAGCCAGGTTTAGGACAGGATTTTAACATTTGATTAGGTGAAATATTCCCACCAGATCGTATATTTGTAGCATTTTTATTAGTTAGAAGTGATTCATTTGAACGAGATGGAGTTGTTATTAATTTTTGAGTAGGATCTTTGAGTGGTGATGAGGAAGATAGCACTGGGGATTTATTATGTGGTGGAACAGGGATAGATATCTCATTGGATGGGATATTGCCTGAAAAGTGAGAAATGCAATCAAGTTTAATAATGAGCGAAGACGAAGGAGAAAAGGACATGATTTCCTTGTGATCCATAGATTTCCGACGGTAAACACCTAGTGAAAATTTGACTAGAAGGTGGGAAATGGAGTACAAACCGATTGGGTTAATAAGTCTAAACTTCAGGCTATTCAAGAAACTTGACAACCAAGTAAAGATTTATGTACTCGGTTTCGAGCCCCAGTTTATATGTGAAAGCTAATAATACTGCTCAATTGTTAAAACTAAAGTAGGCAAAACAGGGTTCAGACCGGAGAACACAGATGACTCATAAAAATCGGCTGACTTTTCATTACGATAATGAGTAATCCAATTCAAAGGAATTATTATTACCAATTTAACTTAATGAATGTAAATAACTGGATAAGAACTCAACAAATAAATGGTACAGGACTTGGTAGGAAACTTGGATATTATCCTTTAATCATGTGTGAGATCAAATAGACATACTATTAAGGAATTTGACAATAGGACGTAATGAATAACTAGGTTTTCTTGGTTTGTAATGAACTATTAGTTTGAAAAGAAAACAAACTTGGAATTAATATAACTTTAATAAGAATCAAATCACAAATTTACTAGTTCAATACAACATTAACAAATTAGTGCACATTTAAACTGAGTAAAATCTAAGCTAGTTCTACTTCGATTTGTATAGCAGTCTATAGAAAAAACTATCCTTGTTTTAATTTCGCGATACGTTTATGTTACAGATAAAAAACTATTAAACTTTGGCATAATTGTTATATTTACACAGTCTAGTACATAAACCTGTAAACGGACAAAAAGGATTTCTAGTGTTATATAAAAGTATCTACTGGCAAATGAGAGAAAGAGAAATTATAAATTGTCACGTTGCCTTAATTAGAGTACCGTGGCAGTCAAATATAATGAATAACCTTAGAAAGTATCGTTTATTTACTAATATGTTTAGAATAGGTTACATAAATAAGCATCGTTGAAATACATTAATGTTAATAATCTGAAAATAGATTAACATGTTCAAATCGACCTAAATATTCATATATAAGAGAAAATACAGGATTCTTTTACCTAACAATGGAGTTGTTGCTGCTGACGAAGTAGGTAACAAATCATTGCCACCATATATATTCCATTCACATGAAAAATCATACAATGTTATAGCTAATAAAGGACGTGGATAAATTTTAACAGGATCAATGAATAAACGATTCCATCGGTTAGCACGATAATTTTTAAAATTTGTAGTGGAGCTAGGTGGAGAGTAGAAATTTTCATGAATATCAAAACTTATCAATGGTGATGAAGTTTGATCATTAGTAGTGATAGAGGGGCTCGACGATTGTTTAGTTGGTTGAAGTAAGTAACGAATTTTTTCTTTTGGTGTTGTATAATTCAATGCTGGAATAGTGGATGGATCAATAAAAACGAAATCATCAGAAAGACTTGATGGTCCAGAATTGTGTGAGCGATTTGACATAGATTTCAATTGATCAGATAGATCTAAGTATAGTTGATTTTTACTTTTATCATTCATAGACGTAGTATCATTAGCAGTATTAATGGGACAAGGACTAGAACTACATGATTTTATATCATTATTTATTGAAGTATTCGATTTCCTTTTACTACTACTATGTACAGTACGACATGGTTGGGGAGTTGGACAAGTATTAATAGCTAATTTCTTCTCTACTTTTCTTGTTAACGATTCATTGTTTTTACTGGAAGTTTGTACGATATTTGAAGGAATATCCACAGCAGATGATCTTTTTACATTACCAATTTTAAATGGTGATGAATGAACCTGAAAAGAGAAAAATATACCATTATTACATCGGAAAGATGTTTTGTTCAGTCTGATGAGTATACATAACAACATAAATACCATTAAAGAGATATAACACTTCAAATATTTCGTTAGTCATCGTGAAATAATTACAGGTTAATAGATGTGCACAAATAAACATAGATCTTTGAGGGGTGGCAAAACAAGGTGTTGTCCAAATCCTCAATCATTAGCCCTTGTGGTCTGGTGTGTGACGAAATCTCAGCACGGATACAGAAGGATCGACTAGCTTTTGCCAACTTGCGTCATTTATGGCGTAGGCGAGATATCCGTCTACCAACCAAAGGACGAGTTTACTGTGCAGCAGTTTGCTCCGTCCTACTTTATGGCAGTGAAACATGGTCGGTACGAGTAGAGGATATTCGTAGGTTACTAGTATTCGATCACATGTGTTTTCAAAGCATTGCTCGTATATCCTGGGACCACTGAGTAAGTAATGCAGTTGTTAGGAAACGGGTACTAGGTAAGGGTAGCAAGTCAATTGATGAAGTAGTGAAACTTCATCAGTTGAGATGGCTGGGACATTTGTTACGTATGCCCAACGACCGACTACTCCGACGTGCTATGTTTTATGGTGTAGGAGTAGGTTAGAAGAAATCTAGGGGCGGCCAAACCAAAACATGGCACAAATCCATGAAGTCACTGACAAGTGGACTGAGCCATGTTGGTAGGTGTAGACTACCTGGCTGGGATCCGCGAGATGATAGCAACCGATGGTTAGAGACCCTGAATGACATGGCTCAAAATCGTTTGCAATGGCGCAGGTGCATCCACTCTTTGTGTTCTCCCAGATTCTAATCTTCTGAATTCTTCATGTGCCTTTTTTCCTCTTTCCAAATTTATTTCACTATATTATACTCCTTGAATAACATCTCCAAACCCTAATCTTCCCGATTACTGCTTATACTCTTACCACCTCTACCACTACGGGATTTGAATGGACAACTGCATCTCTGTTGTAATATGGTATGGCGACTCGAACCGATGTACGTACAAAGTTCTACATTATTACAGACTGACTGAGCTATAAATGGTATGTCAGGGAATTACAATGATATATATCACATATTAATTGCTAAACATTAATGTCAAGTTATTATCACTCTCAACTATTTTTTCGCTGCATGAATGCTTACTTCTCCGCTTAAAATGATTTAAAAGTGTCTGGGCTTGTAAGTATATTCCGTTCCACAAGTAAGATCATAGAGTTTTTAAGTGTTTAATCGTTTTTATTACTGAGCCCACTAGTTAAACTTTCTTACCTGCAGATACTTTACACTAACACCGACCTTGGTAACTAGGTCACATCAAACAACTTAATGTCACATTATCTATTTATTTCAACACATAAACATTGGTACAACGACGCACCAGATATATATATATATATATATATATATATATGCGCCACACAAACCATTCGGTTTTTGTGAGGGCTGGAATACTCCCGGGTACCCAAACAGAAGCAGGTGGTTTTCTTAGGGGGCCACTTCCCGAGTCTTTAACCTGAAGGTCTAATCCATAAGGCAGTGAAGCAACGTTAGGAGATGCAGTCCGACGGTAGCCGGTGACCAACAATGAGTTCATACGCCATTTGTTTCCTTAGGATCCTTGAGCACATGTGCACCATTGGTATGGAATCAGGGTTATCCAACTCCTCTAGGTGGATCCTGCATATACGTATACATTTAATATTACTATCTTTATGAAGCCTGTAAACTGCTGTGCGTTCTGTAATTATTATTTTCAGAATATATATATACTTATCATAATATTAAATGGGTTGATTTAATAGTCCGTACTTTTTCCACTAACTATTTTTACAGATGCTATCTCAAAAGTAAACAGATACTTTATCACCAATAAATAATTAAGTGTTAGAGCTCAGAATGATATAGGTACATCCACTATTTACATTTCATTAGACCTTCAGTTCTAGTATGCTTCCAAATGAACTTTCTCGTTCCATCTTTTCGAACTATATTCTCAATCTTCCTCAGTATTATTGCTATTAGATTATATTGATGTCTTTTACCACTTATCTTGTTATTTTAATCATGTCCTACTAATTTGATATGACAACTTAAACTAACGTACAGTTTTGTCTGACTGTACATGGATTATAAATCATAGCCAAATGAAACAGCTATATACACTAAACAAAATGACAGTTAAATGAAGAAACAATACTCAGACCTATAGTGATAACCAATTCTTAGATCAAAAATAATTTAACTGCCAGATATTTCAACGTACCAGAGAATTAAATGGATACGTGATTTTAAATGGAACGTGAATATTTTAATTCTCATCTGTAAATGTATTGTATTGATACGAGAAATTAATTTTTAAAAAATATATTTAAGATTATTCTGATAAAAAACAGTAACAATCTGATCTACAATCTTGTTGACCGAGAGAAAAACTAAAACAAAAATAAAACAGAAAATGGATCACTCACAGAATCTACATCAGAAATTGCATCTTGTATAAGATCAAGGCTACTAACTGAACCACTCTTACATTGATTATCATCGAGTATATTTCGAAAAGGATTCTGAAAGAATAATGACAGTAATATAAAACGCAAATCGATCACTTTATATATATCGGTGTAAGATTACTTATAGTTGTATTATTAAAATAAAGACAGCAAATGAGAATAGACTTTGGTGAATGATACTTCACGCGTTTAACGATTATAGTTCATAGATTACCATATTATATTAAAAATACCACAAGCATATATACAACGTATTGCAAGGGTTTATAATTCTTTGGATTTTTAATTACAAGATGGATCATCATTGGAATGAAAGAGAACTCATTTGACGAATTTTAAAACAAAACCTCTATCTTGAATTTCACTATTATCCACTATTCAAAATAAAATACAAACATTTTATTTGTTCAATAAAAGCATGCTCTCACTTATCACTACAAACTTCTCTATTACTGTGCCAATTCCAATACTACGTATTGTTGACTTTTTATTTTGGTAACAAAGCTGGGTCGTCTCATCAGAAAGACACTTGATAAGCGGGTCTATGTTTGGAATAGTATTCTATGGGATATCAGAGTCGAAACAAATCTGATAAACAACTTATTAAGAGTAGACGGACGGGATTTTACTTCCAATCCCTTTTTTCTTCTTATTAACATTATGGGGCGACAAAATACACTTTTATCCTATTTCTTAACTTCTATTAAAACTATATTTCGTAAGCAAACACTCTCATATTCGAATGTTTAGTAAGTAAACATGAAAAAAAATCCAAAAACTCAAATTGATAAATATTGTGTCTGTTTACTTAGAAAAAAACATTGATATTACGAAATGACGATTAAAACGATATTAGTTATCTTGATACAAAGAAGTCATTTAAATGAATAAGACAGAAACGAATTAACTCAATTTATTGTTGTGTAACGCTAAGCAATCCCAATTTCTTAAACACTAAAAGTTCGTGAGATTTTTGAACATGATTTGAAAATTCTTTCTCAACACTACCGGATACTACATAAATAGTGTGTATATTGTGATTTACCAAGACTAGTGTACGATACTTTGCATGTCTAACAAATTCGAATTCATACAACTAAGAAAATTGGTTTAGATCAACTTTGAAAATTAATTTTTATTTTATATGAAATATTCGTTACAAACGTGTCAGCTACTGACTAACACTTTGGACAGAATTACTTTTGGGAACAGTTCACGATTGAAATAAAGACTTCTAGAATTTGAATAAGAACGGCTAACGAAGGAACAAAAAATAATCCTTATACAAAGATTTATATACTAGAAGGTATGAATAACATATAATTTATGTGAAAATATATGATATGACGTTAAATAAGTGAGAAATACAAGTTCAAATTAACGATGCAATAGTAAAGAGGAAAGTATTTAAACTACTGAACCACACCATAATATTATTAAAAACACTCCTTACCTAAGAAAAAATCTCTTTATAACCTTATGACAAACATTTTTTTCAAGGAATAAATAAATAAGAAACTATTGGGCATCAATCAGATGATATTCTTCAGAATTAAGTGTCACAGTTTGATCTTTTAAGTATCCAACAAACTAACTAGATGAATTGGGCAAAAAATTTATGTCTAATTTATAAATAGCAAGTAGAAAAAAAGAGAAACATACCGAGTAAACTAAACCAGATGGAATTGGACTTGATGCATGAAATTGTGGACATAATGTTGGATCTAGTTTTAATGATGATGTATTCTTTACATGGATTGGTGATGAATGCATTGTTGGTGAAGGAGTAGTTGTATTACAATTATTCATATCATATATTGTTAGTAATTCAACGAATTTATGTAAAATGACTAAAATATCAGCACATGTGTTAATTTTCAATAGGTTATTTGTAATACGCATATCGAATCGATTAGTAATAGTAGGGATTGAAGAATTTTGACAGATAAATGAAGGCTTACTACGGTGAATATGACTACTACTACTACTATTACTATTATCCTAAAATGATTAAGAGAAATAAAGCGACAAAAAATACTATGATTATAAGTTATTTTTAACTGATATAAGTTGATTGATGAAAACTCTTTGAAAAATAATTAATAACAAATTAGAAGACTTAAAAAACCACATCAGTATATACTTATTTTATGTTGTGAATCAATTAGTCATAGACAATGAAAGTCTTGACATGAATACATTGTAGTCCCAGTTGTTACACTGGAATAGTACAATAAGGGGAAATTAACATAATGAGGAGAGAAATGGAGTTAATTATTCCAATAGTGATATGAAGGCAGGATGTAGTTATTTGGCAATAGATATACGCGTTTCTAAAATTTTAAATGAGTGCCTCACAGTAAAATCTGCGATGCTCGTTTTGTCCTATTTGGGACTCGTGATATTGGGTGTACTAGATCCAAATGCTAATGCTTCAACTTAGATTTGAACCCGATAACTAATGTATTCAGGTAACCGCTAACTTGCTTGTTAACATCCAGCTGAGTCTTAAATAGAACCATATGTTCCTTCGATATTTTACGTTTAGATACAGTTCAAATTTAATAAAATTTGTGAAAAGAAGGACACAACGAGAAAGTCTGTTTCAGATGTATATATGGTAATGGAAACTAACTGATTGCAGCATCAAAATAATTGTCAAGTTCTTTTACACATTGCCCTTAATCTCCTCCTATTCAACTTCCTTGTGTATTACTCAATACTACTTATTAATATTGAGTAAAGTGTCTTAATAACTTTAGAAGATTTCTTGTAATATTGTCGTGTATTTACATGAACTAATAATGTTCAGTTCATCCATTGTTGCGGTTAAGTTTTTGTAACTTTTGTAACAATTGGTTTTAGCTTATATGCAGTTTTTATATATTGTTTTAAACGCAACAACTTCCATATTTTTGTGCTCTTAGTCTCCGTTCAATTACTGATGGTTAGAGTTGACTTTAGACGCAGCTAACAGCGGTCATTTACGCTATCATATGCTGTAATTACTCTTTATACAACTAATGCAAGAAAAATTCCCTTTCGCACGTAAATCTCTGTTAACTTCTACAGATACTTCATGAGTTCGGAGTTTATAATTAATTTACATGTATTTTGTAATAATAGAACTGCTCTTTAGATAGACACAGGATAGGATAATATGGCATAAAAACTAAGCACCAATTTAATAAATAAAGTATATGGACTGTTATAAATTCAAAAACAATACAACTACTTTGTACATGACAAAATTTTCTATACAACATCACGTAAATCCGGTAACAGTAATTACCAGAGGTAGTAAACATACAGAAATAATTTCAATCATAATCGCCAGACTTTTGAAAATGCTATTTAGGAACAACTTACAAACACTTACTATTCTTTCAACGTTCTAAAAGATGGATGGAGAGTAACTTACAGAGTTATGGGGAGAATGGCATTTAAAAAAAGCCAGTAGAAAAAGAATTTTTTAACAAACCATATACCACATACACTGTCATTTTTAGTAACACTATGGAATTTTTAAAGTAGGCATAATTTCACAGTTATCAAATTCTGAATTTTAATACAAACTCATGATAACAAAAACTCTGAAATAGGTAAACATTACCGCCAACACATCACATTCAACAGCCATACGTACTATTGTTATACAATGACATAAGACAAATACATTTTATGTTTTTATCAAATCTATAACTGTTTCATATTGTTGAAAAAAAACAGTAGTTGAAAAACCTATTTTAAGTTAATGCTAAACTATTAGTCAGTCTCTGAGATCATTTTTTTAATATTTTCCATCGATGTTAACGCAAATTCGGTCATAAGAACAATTTGATGCATCGATAGTTTCATTATCCAATGAGGATCGACTTATCATCCTACAGGTTTTAGTCTACTAGCATAGTCACAAGAAAGAAAAACAAAGAATTGAGATTTCTTGATAGAAAATGAGTTTACTATATTGTAAAACTTACTTTTATGACGACTGTATCTCGTTAACACTATGAAAATTAATTTTTCACGTATAAAAACACAATATGAGTTATTATTTCTAGCTATTCAGTTGTGAATAAGTGCTGTATGGCAATTATCGACTATTTTTGGTATATTATGACATCTAATTCTTTTTAAAATTACCTTCACCAAGTAAATAAAACAAATGTAATGTCAGAACAACAAGTAAACAAGGTATTCGCTTTTCAATTATTAATTCTATGTTCAGATGACTGAATTCAAGGTAGGTTAAATGAATTGTTTTTAGTCGCTATTGATGACGTTTTTCTTCAGTTGAATAATTTACATTCTTGATTTCCACTGAATGAATTCCTTTGTTTCCTCATACCTACAACTTTGTATTTTGAAATATAGTATTCTTATAATTATTATCTAGTATTCAAGATAAATTATGAACTACCTAAAAGAATGTGTCGTATATTGCGAATCCTATTGGAATAATACGCTTATTTGTAAAAGTGCTAATCTTTAATTTAATTATCATATGCTGAATGTGTAAAGCGATGAATCTACTCGTCATTCAAAAAGTAGGTTGGATGTTTGAATTCATTTCTATTTAATTCGGTTTGAGCAGCTAGGTAGTAATACTAGCGTTTGATCTCTATTCTGTTGAGTACGAAATTCGACAATTAATTAACACTCAAATGCCATGTCTTGAAGAACCAAATGAAAAACAAATCGTTGTGGAAATGTCAACAAATTATATATATAACAGAAATTTACTAAATAATTCTCCTAATTCATGCAACCCCCCCAAAAAGTGATTTAATAACATAACTGGATCGAAATCTATTAAATAAACTTACAGTTGTATTTGGTATAATAATTGGCTCAGAAAAACATTTTAATTCCAAATGATCTAGGCTTGCTATACAAACAGCTTTATTCAAATCGAATGTACTAAGCCAATGACGAAAATTAATTAATAATGGATGAGAAGAATTGATATCACATAACCGAGGATTCAATGAATTTGGATTGATTGACTGAAGTTAAGAAAAAAATGTTAGAAGAGCAAAATAATGATGATATTCTATTATTTTTCTTTAGAAAGGTGTTATTTATTCAGTTTTATTAAGCAATGAATGGATGTGAAATGCTAAAATACAATATATGAATAGCGTTGGATGAAAGTAGTCATTTAGTTCACTTTATTCGTTTACACAATTCTTGAGGTGTTAAAAGTTTCAATAGACACGTAAATTTACCTACGAAATTGAGTTTAAAGAAAGAATATCAGCTTAGTGATTGGTTTTACAATTATAGTCAACTGTACAACTTTTAAAAATGGATCGTTTTGTGAGAATTTATGCAGATAAATATGCAGATAAACGGTTAATTTTGTTCTCACTGATATATTCATTAACTTAAATTTGGCTTAAATGAATGACAAATTAAATAGAAGACTTAATATAAGATCAAGTGGAAAACAAGATAAATCACTGATTGAATGATAGGGGCCTTAGAAATATTACTTATAAACAGTAGGGTTATTCGAATCAATTCACTCATTTATGATGTTTTAAGTGGATATATCTATTTAAGATTATCGTGATGGGTTAAATACAATTGATTACACTCATGCAATACCTGATATCTTATTGGATTTCACGAAGTAACAGATGATATTTAGTTTAAAACTATGTAGAATCATTATCAGTTAAAAAAATATGTGTTTGTTTATATTTGTAACTAATCTAGAATTCTAGTGAAAAAGAAAATAGTAGGACATTCTATGTCGAGAGTGGGGAGAGTCCGCTCTCCCTCTCGAAATGCTCTCACATGGCCACGCGTATATGGCCTCTGCCAGGGAAGTCCTACTCGCTGCCTTCTCGTGGCGGGGGTGTTGTTTACGAAAATGAGAGGACGAAAAGCGAATGTCCGGCGCTTTAACCGGATTTTAAACCAATGGTGCACATGGGCTTCAGTATCCTGAGGGAACAAATGGCGTACGAACCAATTCCTTGGTCACAGGCTACCATGGGACTGCATCTCCTTACGATGCTCCACTGCCTTGTGGATCAGACCTTCAGGTCGAAGGCTCGGGGAGTGGCCCCCTAAGAAAACCACCTGCTTCGGTTTGGGCACCCGGGCAGTATCACAGCCCTCACACATATCGAATGAGATTTGTGTGGCGCATATGTATTTGGTGCCTCCTTGTACCAATGTTTATGTGTTAAAATAAATAAATAAATAAGGACATTCTATGTCGTTGTAACGAAACAAAATAATTCAAAGAGCATGGATAAAAATTTAAAGTATAAACATATTTGATTTTATCCTAGTTGATGGTCACTTCTTATCAATCATAAACTTTACCATTTACTACTAATGTAGTTTTGTATTAAACAGAAAATAGTTTGTTTATTTATTATTTTTAATTTGAAAAAAAATTTAACAACTTACATTAAATTTAAAAGGGAATATAAATATGGCCAGATTATTAATAAATGCCATAACTAACATTCCAGGTTGCATATCGACTTGATTATCATTATTATTATTTATTGATGAACAAATTGTCAACATTTCCATAGCTGTATTTACAGTAATACTAGTTGATTCACAACCAATCATAAAATGTAAAATAGGCATTTGATAATTTACAGAAGTCGGTTTATTTGTTGACAAGATAAAATATTCTGGGTAAGGCATTGAAAATGTAGCCGTTAAATGTTCAAAGTGTAAATGTTGAGAGAATAGACAAGCTGGTGCATAATAACTCGGATATTCTTCTGTAATGAATGATAAATTAGGAGTTTGATATAAACTACAAAATCGAATAAACCAATTCGGTAAACCTGTTAAATAATTAAAATTATTGTTAGTATTTGTAGTGGTAGTAGTAGAATTTGAAGAATTGACTGGAGTTGTTAAATTGGGATTGCCAATATTTGAATAAATATCCCAACGATTATTTAAACTGAATAGTGGCCAATAAACAAAACAAACCTCTTGAATTCGAAGAGTCAAAATGAATTCATCATCGTACGTTGAATTACCTTGATAAAAAGAGGAAAAGAAATGATTATATATATATATATATATATATATATATATATATATCCCGTTTATGTTTATCTATTTGTACCATTGTAGTGGACACTAAAGTTGAAATAGCTCATTAGTATATAAAAGGTAACTGTTAATAAAAGACAGGTAATCTCAAGTAGCTTCGAAATTTTTGAAGATTATCACGTCAGACGATTTACTAAACTACATTAATCAGTTCATCTAGAGATATGAACACTGTGTGTATTATTTAATGTCAGCAAGGACTATGGTAGCATATATTCATTTTGAAAAAAAAATGGTGATAAATCGTGAACAACACTTTCGGGTGTATGAAAACGTTCAGTACAATATGATGTGACAACGAGCAAATCACAGAAGTAGTTTCACATAGTTATTGATTAACATTTTATCAATATTAGCAAAATGGTAAGTTTGGGAAATTAGAACAAGAAAAGAATGATATGTAAAGTTATAATGTGTATTTAGAAAAAATCATATTGGATAAGATTCTAAGGTTGACTTTTGTAGTAGTTAGAACAATCAATCATCCAATGAGTTGGAATAGTTATTTAGCTAATTATTTTCAAATACAACAGATGAGGACTGTTAATTTTAGCTAAGTAACTGTTTCGTTCTAATTTGGGAGTTTTTAGCAGCACACACCTAAGACCACATCAGGGATCGGATTTAGAAAGTTCATATCAAGTAGCAGAGACTTTACATTTTGAACGTTAAGTTAGCGGTCAGTGATGTACAATTTTAACTTCAATTAATTAGCAATATTGAAAAATCACCATATTTTGCCACAGATGATTAAATATTGTTGATTACAGCTTCTTACCAGAACTTTCGAAATTCTCAAAGTCACTAATGAGTACCTGATTATTAATGTCAAGATAAGAGCTTAGTGGGGTTTCTTCATCGTGAAATGTCAAAGTTCAAGGATGTAATAATTACAGTGCTTCTAAAAAAGGTTTTGGAAATTAGTCCTGACGGTGCACATGATAGTTAATTAAATAAAAGATACAAAATTCCCCAAGTTTTATACCTGAATCGGATAAACGATGAATTTGTCTATGTTCTAAAGCCATGCTAAAAGTTGGTTCGTTCGATGAATTCGCGGTAGATACACCAACTTGATGAAGTGTTGAACCATATGGATAGCCAATAGAATCCCATGAAAGATGAATTAAAACTGGCCATAAACTAGCTGGCGAATCTGATGATGATGGATGAGCGTTATCAGCAGAACTATGATTATCAGAATTCGGATTTTGACTACCTAGAGGATTTCGAACAACATTAAAAAAACCATTGAATACGCTGGTTACGTTTTAAAAGACAAGATTACTTAGAACAAAACGAGTTGAATATAGTAACATGTCAGGTTATGGGGCTAGTACGAAAATCAAAGAGGAAGCTTACAACCATGAAAATATACAAACGTGTCTATGATTGTTAGTGTAACGGTGGGGATAATAGAGCTGAATACATCTTAGGGGAGAACACCGATTCTTAGCTAGATCATTTTATACTAATTAACGATTTATAGTTGTTTCGTGGGCTTCAACGGGAGTTTCACAGTCTGATGTCATGTTATCGTTTGGTCACTCATAGACTTATATTAACCACTTCTTGTCAAGTGAAGGAATGAAATTAATCCGTCTCATTTTAATCTGAAAGTTGTAAATGTTTCGATAGTCGAAATAAATTACAAATTACCAATGATCAGTTGGGAGTTCTATTCGTAGGTACGTTGATTGTTATATGAAATGTTGCTTAGTGAAAGATATGAAGTCAAAATAATATGAACTATTATGTAGTTACGAAACTTGGCAATAACCTACATATGTATTGAAAAAACGAAGTAAGAACAGGGTGTGATCTCAATTACTACTAACTAAATGTCTATGACATAACCGCTCAATTAGAAACCACACTAGTGGTTTAATAACAGCGTGGAAAGTGTTTAAGCTGATGATAAGACTAAAACACAAACAACTCGAAAGCTTTTGAAAATATTGAAGCTTTAATGTAATAAAACAGTGAACTAAATATGAATATAACTACAAGTACTTCAGTCAAGTTGAAAATTTATAACTAATGAACATTGGTAAAACACTTTCATGTAACTCCCCGGAGGTTGTAATAAAAATATCCGTTATGGACGACCACATAATATGAATTGATTTAATTTAGTAAGTAACTACATTTACAAGTAGTTGATTAATTCAACCCAAATGCTGAACTAAAAGCAATTGGGTTCAAACCTGTAACTCAGTGGTTGATTGGATATAATTTTGAAGTGATGGACGGAGTTTACAGTGAAAGGACAATAATTCGGTTCCAAATAAAAGAACTGTTAATACGTGGACAAAATCTACACCTACACTGCCCAAACTCTTGTAATAACGAGTAGAATATGCTCATTCTAGTTTAACTGTTACTTTGCTTATTTGATTGTGTTGTTAATTAGCTCTTGTTAACCAATTCAGGACTATCATGGATTGATTGTTATTGAATAGTGTTTTAATATTTTGATAACATTTTGTTGAAATAATGCTGCATGTGAAAGTAACATGCATTAGTCTAACTCTAAGCAAACAAACACCAAAAAACAATAACCAGTGGAATAATGTGAAAATATGTTACAAATACGATACTTACAACTATAAGATATTTCGAATTCACCAACTTCCATTTCAACATAATTTAAATTCGGATTAGAATTATGCGAAAGCTCAGTAAATAATGTGGTATTAGAGGCATTTATAATCACTTTATCAGTCGGTCGAATTCCTCCCACAGATGATGATGATTCAGGAAGGAATGTTGTAAAGTGTAAGGAATTTATATCTAATTGCAAACAAATAGAGGATTGAAATTGAACAGAAGTATTCGTTAATGGTCCTACTACTTTATGATCTGCACTGTAAGTAGTGTTATTATTAGTACGATGATCACCAGTACAACGTTGACGGTTTTTATGCAACAAGGAGTGTTGATTTAAATTTATATTATTCATATCTGTAGGCATAGAATAGAAACAAATAAAGGTAAATACGCTGATAGATCTATTTTGATTATTTCCAGAATTTATTATCGAGAAAAACTCAACTCAGAATAACAATTACTTACCAATTTTAAACATATTGATATACAAATAAAATTATTAATGGATTATTAATAATTAGACTTTACAACTATGAAAGACGAAGCAACTATACCATAACATTATGAATATAATAGGATCGAGTCCTTACGAGATGTTACTTAATAAGTTACAGATTGTAATTAGTTAAGAAGAATATAACAATAACAGCTCAATAATTAGGGAGTGATAAATTTTGGGCGAAGAAAAATGGATTGTGTGATAAACACTGGCAAATTTAATTAATAAGTAATCAGTGTTGTGTTAAGTAACCAAATTTTGGACTGAAAAGAGATGTAGCTAGTTAACAGCTTAATTTACAGAATTTGTTAGCCCATTGTAACAGTCCAAATGAAAATCAATAGTAAAGTGACTAGAGTGTGTTTTAGTACAACAAAGAAGCCGTTCGAAGCCATGAAGTATCGCGGGTATGAAGAAGATGGATTGATGCATTCCATGAAAGCGTCTTAAAAGTAGACGATTGCGGTGATACTTCAAGGGTAAAACCTTTTTACCGACTGAGGAAGGTGAGATAAATTATTCCATTAAAAAAGTGACCTGACAAACTACTAGTAACTGAGGTGATCAAACTAATAACTGCTCAAAGAACTGATCCATGAAACCTTGACAGAAAAGGTACTAGAAAACTAAACAACTGGTATTGAAGTTATCATTTCTATGCAGAGCATTCAGCCAAGTTAGAGCAACTTAGAAAATATCAGATGAAGAATACAGAGTAACCAATGATTCTTTAAATATATTCATCGTACTGAATCCAACCAATAGAAGACTAAACACCTTATAGGCCACAGTATTTGATTCCAGTCAATCAGAACATTCAAGTATAGAAACTTAGCATATAAACCTATGTTACAGTGGACTGAGAAAAATCATTAAACAATATTTATAAATAGACAGTTGATAGAAATGTGATTGTATGAATAGTTTGCACAATGAGTAAACATTGATAAATTAAACATTTGCAGTTTAAGGCACGACCACTAAAATGACTCACTGTTAACATTTTTTCGTAAATCACTTGACCAAGAGATTTTACTATTACAACGGTTTACATTCTCTTTGTTATATTTTGTGTAATGATTGCTAACAGTATTGTCTTTGATATTAAAAGTATTACTATATAATTCGTTTAAATCATTTTCAGCATAATCACTATCCTCTTCTTCATCACTTTTAACTGAATGATAATGTAGACCGCTTGGATGATGATTTACATTATAATGACCAATTGGTGATATTGCTTCAAGTTCAGCGGCTGCTCGTGCAGCATCTGGATGAGCATAGATAGTGGCTAAAGGAGCAGGATCACTTAAAAACCAATAACGATGATCCGATTGTAAATTTGTCACATTATCTACTGTTGGACAAGTATGATTTGGACGTTTTAATGTTGCACGTAGGCGACGATCATTAGGTAACAATGATTGCCATAATAAAAGATCATACATTAATCTGTAAAATGTATAGAAAAATACTTAATACATATGAGATATCAAGAAGTAAATGTCAATAACTTTTATCAAATAAATATATATTTGAAGATTAACTGAAAGTAATAAACAATCTGATCACATAAAAATGACTGAACCCAAAAAACAATGTTTATACAAAAGTTAAAGTAAAGAAATGTTTTATGGATTGTCAACGTTAAAAGAAAAACTTGAAAACAGCCAACAGATTTAGAAGGATTTTTATTATGATTATCTTGATAAAAAGTTCATTTTGTTTGGAATATATTAACTTCATGACAACAACAACAACTTGATAGTAAAATCTTTATTTAATCAACAACTCATATTTCTTAAAGATTAATATTAATATACAACAATACAATAAGATATTTTGAGAATTTACAATCAAATTCAGATTTAGAAATACATGTTGAACGAAAAAAATACTTCATTTCAATTAGTTCCATGTTATTTCTCTACGATAGTACATAGGTTTTACTGTCAACTATAAAATTATACCATATAAATGGTGATGAATTAATTTAATATCTTTCCTAGAAATAGTAATCAGTTAATGACTCAACATATTGCTAATATCAGTACAGGGTTGTGGAGATTATTTAGTTCTAATTGAGATGATGAACCTATCAATGTCAGACCATCATTAAAAACCTGGAAGCAATGGATTGCCGTTTCGTTTTAGTATGGGACTTTTCAGCAGTGCGCATCCATGATCCTGTACATGAGACCCGAACCCAAGACCTTTGGATTCGCACGCCAACGCTCAAACTCTAGACTACTGAGCCGGCATCTTATTGTGTCAGTGTCTAACTTTAACCAATCCACGATATTGATTGGCCATCTTCTATTGTCTTTAGTGGGTAACTGCCCTACATCCAACACGGTTGCTAATATACTGGATAATTAAATGTTTCAACATTGAACCAGTGGAAAATTAACAATTCGCTTCGATTTCTAAAATCACTTGATTGTTTACATCATTTTTAGAGGAGAATTCCAAAGTAACTGACTATTCAACTAGAAATAACTAAGTGTTAACGTCTATACAGAGATAAAAAACACTTTTAATATGATGTAAATATAGTTTTCTAAAAATTGTATAACAAAATACGTTAAGCTAGATATCTCACTGCAAAAACAATTGTTGGCTATCACATTATAAAACTATGGTCTCAGATTTAACTAACTTTTTATTAAATGTTTCCAAGATTCGTATTATTCAAAGCATTCTTATGGATCTATGGACAAACTCACTTCAATTTAGTTAGAAATAAAGATATAAATTCCATTGCTTATAGTCTAATATGAACTCATTTTATTGTCGGTACGTATAAACATACAAAAATTTATCAAGGAATCAATTCAACATAAACATTTAGAAGTTGAACTAACCGTAAACAAAGTAGTTCTACTGTTTGTTTATGTTCAATTGTGATTTCTGCCAAAGGTATTTTAAAGTGTACAAATAAGTGGGTATGCATACTAGCAGATTGGCGATAGGCGAACATATGAGCTTTATTACCAGGGTAATAAGTTATCTAAATAAAGAAAAAACAATAAATAAAAACACTGAGAGAAGTACATTAAAAAAAAACAAGGTCTGACTAGTTCAGTGAAAACAAGATAAACAAGACTCTATTTAGGTAGACTAAGACAACAAAGAACTAGAATAGCATAACTCAATATTTCAACTTAACATATGACTGATTTTTTGAGAAATACATAAATATATCTAATCATTAAATCACACAGAAGTGTATCGAAACAAGTTGGAACATTATACCACGTAGAACAGAAAGAGAAAATCCGTATGGGTAGAAATAGAAGTGGTCAGTTGTCATTCCATTCAGTCAAATAATAGGAGGATCAACATAAGTTTTCAAGGATTATTCACAATATTTTACAGGTAAAACTATATAACAGTAGCGGGTTTTTATCTAAAATCATGTTGTTCAGTGACATGTCTAGTATTTAAACGTTGTACACTAAATTTATAATCGTTCTACCACCAAGATTAATATAGGTACAGAAAACATGGGTACATTTAGGGCAATAAGTGACCAAGATAGTTTAGAAAGTTTCAAAAACATTATAAAATTAGTATTTGGACAAAATATCCTCATCTTTTTAACAGCACTCTAAATTTATCAATTTTGTCAATGTATTTAAAAAAATTCACATTACATTCATTAAATTTTATGTAGGACAGACTTCAACTATTTTTATAGCTGTGGTACTTAGACCACACATATGACGAAACTTAGTACTAAACAAAAATTATATGTTTGTCGACACTTAATAGTCGAGTGATAAAGAAATAATGATATGGGTGATTTTATGTTTACTTCAATTCGTATACCTTTAATAATTTGTACATGTATCCATGAGTTCTCAGTTTAGAATCGTTGATTGACTATCACATATTCAAAGTTAGAGTCAGAAAATGACCAATCAGTAATGAAAACCGTATTTCTGCAAGAATTTTTATCTGTTTGACAGGACAGAGTAAAAGTGGTTATCAAATGATATAGTTTTATGACTTGGTGGAGCATGTAAATCGTACGGTATGCAGAAATCAAAAATTTACTGCAGTACATTTTAGATACATGTTTAAAAAACGACGAATTAGAGTTGAAATCAGGTAACTTCACAAGTAATTTTTGTCATAAAAATAGTTATGTAGAAGTAAATATTCTTGAATATTTGATAAATTTTAAACTTTTACCAATAATCTAAACAATATTAAGGTAATCTATTGTTGAATAGACAGATAATCACCTCATTCTCAAAACATTTTCCTGATAGTAACCGGTTTATGAAATGAATAACACATGTAAACATTTTTATTGCATTAGTAATTAATACGAGACTAGAAATTACTAACCTGTTTAGAATGAGGTTTTGGTGCATCTTGAGCAAAGTTCTTTCTGACTACTAAAGGAATAAAACAATTTTGCTTAGGATTAGCTTGATTCCATAATGACCATTCAACAGAATGATCATGATTAGATCTATTTGAATCATAAAATTGATCAGATGATGAAATATACTCATTAAATGTTGTTAGATCAACGCCTACTTCAAATTGAGCAGGTTGTTCTCTAGTTGTTGCCTGTTCATCAAGATCTTTATTCATTGGATTTTCATTTACACACTCGACAAGATCAGTTTGTCCACTGGGAGATATGCGTATATACACTCTGAAAATCAAATTGAATACTATATAATTATTTATATGATGAAGTACTACTCAAATATTCTATAATCAATATTTACTTCAAAATACAATGAACTAGTAACGTAATGTAAAAAATATATTCAATCAGACAAATTTATTAAGTTGCAAACAGTAAACACAAAAAATTCATTTGACGATGCTGACAAATTTTGGTAACTGAAGATCGAAATCTACGGATGTTCATGTGAAGTTATTAGTATTGTTATGACATCAGTAGATACCTTGGAATTACTCTATAATTTCCAAGAAGAAAAGGAAAACACAACTTTGGAATATTTCTTAGACAGCTGAAAATCATTGTTTACACAAAAGTAATGAACATCAATCAGATTCACCAACAATCAAATGTCTTCAAAGAAGGAGAGAGTGAAGCCAGTTTATGCATCAATGCTTTGAAGATTTCATTAAAGTACATAAACCAACAGTTCCATTAAAGTTAATTTTAGACTGTATTGTGAATTGGACCTCTAGGTCAAAGACCCGGGGAGTGGCCCTCTAAAAAACCACCTGCTTCGGTTTGAACACCCAGGCAGTATCCCAGCCCTCACACGCAAACAAATCGAATGATGAAGTGTGGAGCATACATATTCGGAGCCTCATTATATCAATCATTATATGTTTAAATAAGATAAACTCTCTTATCCCACGTTATTTATGTATATTCATTTAAATTTTCCTTACAATTCCAATATTAAAAGTGTTTTTGCCAACAAAATTATTTATTCCTTTAACCAAAAATAATTTGAAGCTTTAACTGTAGAATCTAATAAGAATGAATGTTTTGAATATAATGCGATTTCATTTCAAGTAAATAAGAATTATACTTAAAACAGAAAATAAATAAGATTAAAGAATAAATAGTAAGAGAGATAATACAAAGCTCAAAATTTCAAGGTATATGAATCATGAATATCAACTAAGGCTTTTTTATCGAATTCAAATAATATCAGTTAAGATCTCCAATTAAAGATGATGACAATTACACTTGTTGTAATTGGGAAATATATATATCCACTGCACATTTCAAACCATTTTTCAAAAGATTCACCTAATAATTATAAGCTCTAAGAAAATTAAGTTTAATGAATCTACAATGAAAACTAATCACATAAAACATGAAAGAGAAAGAATGTATTTTTAAAATCTCAAGAGAATGAATTTGATGTAAATCCAACGTTTCATATCAATTCGGCGCTCAAATACTGTGAAACTATTCGATAAGATTTAGACAAACGTTCTTATTAATCACATAAAAGTATTAAAAGTAATGAGATGAAGTAGCTTTGTAGACATTGTTTTAATTTGTGGGTGGTATTTGTCATCTATCAACTTTAAATAAGGTATCGTTGAAAACCAAGAAGTACTGGAGAGATAATTCGTTCAACAATATAACTCTTCAGTAATACGAACCTAAGATTCATGACTTTCAGGTACCATGGTCAGAGCTTAGACGCTAAAAGCACAGAACCGGTGTTTAAAAGGCGCACAATCTCAACCAACTTTTATAAATCATTATCTTCATCAAAAGTAGAATCATAACGTGTTTATTATAAAACGTGACTGGAAAAGTAATGATATATTTTTAGGATTATATATATATATATATATATATATATATATATATATATACATTACACTTACTTGATTGGTTCAGGAATAGGATTCATTTTTGTTGTTAAATATACGATAGGCATTGATTGTATGTTTAGATCATCATTAGCCAAATGTACTTCACATAAAAAGAGAATTATATTAAAAGAAACAGAAAGAGAGGTATTTGTGAACAAGAATTATGATCTGTGATAGAGCAGAGATGCAAAATACCTGAGTTTGAAATTTAGAAAATCTATTTCTTGCTTGATGTTTTTAAGAATTTATGATAAGAGAAAAGAAACTAATCAAGTACAACTCTATTGTCTATTTTAAGGAGTGAAATAGGAAAAAAAAGATGTGATGTTTAACTTGCAACTTCTTGATTTGTCGCTTGTTTTAATCAATTTATTTTTATAAACCACTATATTCGAATTGTTTAATTTACTGATCTCAGTGAAAGAAAGCAACTATTGGGCAGATCAAAGTAATCTAATTATTTTAAATCCAAGACTTGTTCTTTTAAACGTGATTTGAAAGTCGGACAATGTAATAGTTAAGTTCAGATATGTGTACAAATGTTAGTGCTAATATATTTAAAAGTGAAAGAAACAAATGTCACAAGACATTTTTTATCGATTGTCTGTATAAACCGTTAGTGAAATGAGTGTTGATAATAGTTAACAAATTTATACTCTATTAAATTCATAAAGTACATATATGAAGACTTGATTTCAAAGGTGACATAGCGAGTGACATTTTCACAGGTTCGCTGAACGGATACATGAAAACGACGTTTAATTCCGCTAACTTCCACGTTAATTTTTCTCAACTAAGCCAGTACGGAAGCAATCATTTCACGATAAGATTTCAAAGATAGCCTGTTTATACTTAAAAAGCTTTATCTAACTTTAACGATTCACGATATAAGAGGACGACTACCCAATGTGGTTGGTTTTCAATAGTACCCCTATTAAGATCAATTTGTGGCGAATACGACCTACAAATTAAACCAATCTACACAAGACTGCATTGACAAAACGATAATAATTAGATCACTAGAGCCTTAATTCAGCATGTACTTGGAGTTTTAGTGAGAAATCAGGAGTGTAGCAACTGTCATCAACTCCATTGGATGATCGTCATACCACATCCTGAATTGAAGTTAGGGTTTTATTACTGGACACCAACTTAGTGTTTCTAATGGTTGAATGTTCTATGCAAAAACCTGAAGGTTATGAAGTTTGGTCCCTGATGAGGTCATAAGTGCGCATGGTTAAGAAGTATCATACTGAGACGAAACAGTTGTCAGGTGCTTGTTGGTTTACTTCGATACTCGAATCGAGATCAATCTGTGAAGAATATAACCTACAAACTACCGTTTTTATTAGTATGATTATCATTCTAACAATAACAAACTCGTAATATTGTTTATTTCATATCAAATTTTTACATAAGATTTTGATCAGCTGATGATTAAAATGTCAATTATAAGAAAATTCTTTCCACTCCTTCTCGTATGACCCTTTAACTTATTCAATAATAGAATTTATTAGTACTTAAGGCTTAACCAACCTGAGGTTTAACAATTTCCAATATTGCGTTTGAATGGAAAGGCGCTCAAAATCACATAATATTGCTAAGTAATCGGAAACATTTTAATGCCAAATGCGATTAAATTTATTGCAAAACAAATTCCTATTCACCTGATATGGATCCTATAATTAGTTCTAGTTCCTGTTCATTTCCATTATGCTTTCCATTTTTAAAAGAAGAAATTTTAGATTTTGTAACATTTTGTAAATGATCGTTTGGTCTACAAAATGGTTGTAATTTCGGGGATGACTCTTTGGAACTATCAAAATTTAGACGAATCTTTTTCATAAATATAGAAAGATATTCTTTACGAACTGTCCTAGCCCACCATGATATACTTTGTACAGAATTTGATTGATTCGAGTTGTATACTGTCCCGGCACCCCATAATTTTGAACGGATTTCTGCAATTTTTTGACCAGAGGCCTATTTTTAAGAAAATACGCAAAAAAAATAAGTTTTTGATATGTTTACAGAAATAACGCTAAAACTAAATGAGGGATTCCCAAGCTAAACATGTCATTCAATACGTAAACTGTTATGTCTCATGAATCCTTAAATGACTTGTACTTGGTGCTGGGAACCCCAAATATGAAGACGCATAGTGAAAACACAAAGAATGTTGATATGGATTTATTTGATTCCAGAAATAAGTCAAAGTAATACAGAAAGACACATTTTCACATTAGTTTTATTCATACTTGATGATTAGTTAACAATTATCCCATATAAAAGAAATATAAAGAATTGCTACAAAAATCCAAGCTACGAATTTTTTAATAAAGAAGTAATTGCATTACGTACATATTATCAACTTGACAGGCCAGTAACATAATATATGATTATATGTTCTGGAGTGTCAAACTATAATTTTATTTGATTAATTAAGTCACTTCTTATTACATTTATAGTTAAGTAAAACAAAACATTGTTACATACTACAAAGACCATTAAAAAATAATGTCGTGATTACGGGGTGTTTATCTAATCTATATATATATATATAAATATATATCATAACTTTAGCTGTAAACAATCGATGCATTTAATTTTATACTGAGTTCAGCTTTATGTTGATTCTAATACAATTAGAAAACACAAAACTATTTGTATGATAGTACTAATAATAATGAAAATAATAAATACAATACAATCCAACCAAAAACAAATTTAAACACTAAGCCGATGACCCATAGCATATAATATTATGGTAAAGCTAATGATATTTCATTGGATAGTTCGAACAGTGATAAGTGATACATAACAATCGAACACATTAAAATATCATTAGCCCCCGAAGAAAATATAACTTCTTAATGATGACATTGAGATACGAAAAATTCAAATGACGAGTCCTAGGTAGGACGAAACATACGTTCTGCATTCCACTTATAGCAAAATACTAGCTAGCACAATACTATGTCAAAATAATCAGCGTAGACAATATACATGGCAACAGAGATTGATTAATCAGCAATCTCGAGTATTAGCGATAGTCGGTTATAAAATACTAAATGCAAGGAAGATCATCATTCAAAAAGAATAAATGGAATCGGATTGAACTTGAATGTTGTGAGAGGTCTGAGGGACCAATTAATACTTTTTTAACCTTCCGCATTAAAGAAAAAACCTTTTTCATCAAAAACCTGAAAAAATAAACCAGATTATAGCTGTAGATTTCATCAATACACTAAAGAATGAAACCATAAAGCAAAAAGGACAACTCTTCAACAGATAGATCATAGACAGTATTTCGGATTACATGAGTTGTCGATTTTAAAGTAATAAATTTGAAATTTTAAACAACACCAATAAAAGATTCATAGAGCTGTGGAAACGATCGACACTTTTATACAAAAGCTTTTATAATCCTTTTAGGTAAATTTTGAAAGACTGCACCGGTAGAGATGTTATTTATCACTAGGAATATCTTACTTCTGCCCCACTCAAAAGTGGTGACTACGGTTTGGAAAGTTGGTTGAAAGTTTACTCGGTATTTCACAGAGCAACTTACTGACTAGACAACAAGTGACAAGAGAACATCAAGAAGTTGAAAAAAAAGTGGGACGCTAAAGGACCAAAGAAAAAAAGCGAAAAAAGAAGTAAGTTCCCTTCTTTAATGTACGGGTAGAATTGCACTGATTACTAACAACAGAAATTGATAGTCAACAGAAGATTCGACATTTGTTGCATGGGACTTAATAACACTACTAGACAAAGTACATACATTAAATGGATTATTTGGATTGCTGAAGTAAAAACATCATCACTAAACGTTAAAAATTATCCTTATCCTTAAAACCAGTAGAATTATTATGAATTTAATTTATGGTTCTAGTTTTACAAGTTATTATGGATTTTCATGATAAAAGCATGGAATAATGTTTATCGAGTTATTTCACAGAAAACAAATTAGCATATGTTTTGATTGTAAACGTTAACTTTAAAGTGATGTGATTCAATTGGAAAATCAAATATACGTTTCCCCGCATCAACGGTATTCACCAGTTCAACCATAGTAAAGATTTTAGACATGCATTATTAAAAACCTCAGGTGAAGTAATCAAAAGCTGACCCTGACACAGATAAATAAATTTTTCAGATAAGTGAATATCTGGAAAATTTGACTGCGATTTATTTTCCCATATCACTTCGAATCAAGCTATTAAGAAGATCAATTGCATACGAATGAATATTAAACGTTTACATTTATCTGACATTAAGAAAATGATTTGTACACATTGATTTGTCTTTACACTGAACGGGTAAATGAAACTCTCTACATACTAGAATTGTTCTATTAGTTAATTTTGTACACACTGAAACACTGCTACATAACTTTTATATAAATGTATATCATTTCTATTCTATGCAATTCAATTGTGTCTAATATCTTGTATATATCCTTTTCTCGGATTGTTATATATGGATTGAATTAGGCCAAACTGAAGGACATTGGTTAAAGAATAACAGATAGGGAAGCTTGTAAAACACGTTCATTTTTAGATTATCATATTGATTTGATTATATTCGTATTGTCGTGAAGTACAACAATCATAACTAGTGTATTTGTTAAGTGGAGATCTTTTAACTGATTGTTTGTCTTTTTATCGATTATCATAATTACAAACACGAATTGAACGAATAACAGCCTAATTATTACTCTGCATGATATACAAATTAAATGAAACTTACCGTTTTTATCGCTTCTATAGGAATAGGAAAGCGTAAATTCAGCTCAAAACTGTGACATTTCACTGTCATATTCGTTGATGACTGAAAATGCCTCAATGAATCTATTTGATTTGATTGAAAATCGGTTGAAGGAGGGATGTTGTGTGTGAATGAATTTTTGGATTTATTAACTGAATTCTAAAAGAGGTTATAAACAACAAAGCACGATTTATCATTTCAGCAGTTAACATATTTTTATTATATATATATATATATATATATATATATATATGATACGTTGTCTTCCTCATCTATGGACTCATAGGGAAGGGTGTAATTAATAACATGGTAAGAGATCGACCGACAAAGATAATCAACATGAATATAATGGAAACAATAAAACCCATGGGGACGAAGTGATGTAATACTCATTTCGATACAAAATAAACGCTAATGGTGTTGTCCAGAATGGAAATGAAAGATCGGCGACTAAAATATTTAGTTCAGCGAATACACAGTACCACCAAGTGTTTGTGATTTCCAGAAGATGATGGAAATAGGGCGGAAAAAAAGGATGGGTCTGGAGTCAAGATAAAAAAAACAAAGGATCAATGCAACTTAATTACGCCTGTTACTGGAGCATGGGCCACCGACCAGCATTCTCTAACCAACTTTGTCCCGTTTCTGCAGCAATTTGGATGACTCTCCCGGTCCCCCACATTGTACGAGCATTCCATGTACTTAAATTAATGGTTGCTGTAGTTGTCAGAAGGGGCATTAGCCTCATGACTTCCGAAGGAACTCGGCTTTCACCATGAGGCGTCATAACTCTTCTAAATGAAGACCTTCTAACTCCCAGGGTAGAGTTTAAATGGTCTGAATTATTTTTACTGGTTAGTGTTTTTAGCGGGTTAGTTTTCTACAAGATGGAGCCACTAACCCCATGCTCAACCTTCTTCCTTTATCCGGGCTTGGGACCGGCAGTAGCCCAATAGAGGCTCCAGGAGGAATGCGACTATGAATGTCATATTACACCAGTTAGCGTCTCCAACATGAAATTAACATATTACCAAACAGCTAAAACAGACAGTCAGTGATTCCATGAATTGATGCCACATCTCCATCTTGTCAGCCATTATCTTCTTTCACCGATTTAGTGTTAGTCACATTATGCGTTGGGCTAAATGACAGCTAAGTAGGTGTTATACGTAACGCATGTCAACCAAATCAGTGAGTGGAGGTTAACAGTCTCGGTAACCGATTTACCATTTTTGGATTAGTAAAATAAGATTGATGTGCACCGCCCTTACCCACCTAGAGGTAACGCTGAAGGTGAGTTATGTTTTGATTACACATATAACCAAATAATAACAACATATATATTTTATTTATTGCTAATTAGCTACTTTCTATTAACAAACGTAATTATTTGAGGAAGATAATTATTATAAGTCATTTGGTTCAACAAAAACAAAGTAAAACCAGTTTTCACATCATATTAACACAATATGATGAAATTATTATGATAAATACCAGAATAGTAGAAGTAGTAATAATATTGGTGACGGTATAAAATGGAGCATTTAGCATAGAGAATACAATTCAAGAGAAAAGAATAAACTGGCAGAATACATAGACAAAAATCAATGGCAGTTGTAAGGGAAACAAAGTATCATTTAAAAATGAAGGATTTATAAAACTATCAAGGGAACTTATAATTGTAAATATCAGCAATAACAATTTATCAACGTAATGTCAAAAAAGCAAAGCAAATAAAATATAAGATAGATAAATCACTTTATGCAGTGTTTTGTTGATATTGTAAAACAAAAATAATAAACTAAATGGTCAAGCGATTCTGAATAGCGTTTCTCAATGTGTTAGCATTCAGTCTAAAAGAACAACTAGAAAACGGGCCAACTACCTAATGCTTTAAATCCCACCCCAAAAAACGGTGAAAAGTATCAAGTGGAGACAAGAACATGAACAGTATTTTTAACTAATAAAAATAACCCAATATCAAGTTATAGGTTATCATTTAATTAGTTAATGACTATCTCATACATTAAATTGACTGACATGAGCTGAAAGTGGACTTTAGTGGATAATTCACAACAAAGGTAGTATACAGGATTGAGTTGTCAACAGTTTAGTTTAAAAAAGCTGTTTTAACAGTTCAGATACATGGATTCTTGGTTTATATATATATATATATATATATATATATATATATAACACTCCTTTTTCAAAACCAAGTATTTATGTAAGAACCAGTCAAAAATCGACATACAATAGAGAGAAATTATAACTTACCAGCTCTACATGATGATGATGACCAGTCTTCATTGTAACTGGAATATCATTATTTATGTCTGTATCACACCATTCTGTATGATGGTTGAAATCAGACGGTCTTAATGGTGATAAACGACTGACAGCTTCCGATGCGGCTGCCCATGCATCGGTAATACGATGTATACGATCCATAATACTGATATCCACATCCACACAGAAATGAGTAAAATCAATGTGAATTTCATTGACAAAGTCTTGGTATATCTAATTGTAACAGAGATTATTCATGTAAATTAAAATTGCTCACCTGTGACCCTGAAGTTATCCTGGAAGGACTATCTACATCTATATGAGGTAAATATAAATTCCCATGTAATTTTATAGCGGGCTCATTTGAAAGAGATCTTGTTGTGCGATCGGATCCCGGGAATGACGATGTAGAAGGGCATGGAAAATGAAATAGCTGAAGCAAATGTCCCAAAAAAATAGACACCAGTGATAAAAGTTACAAAACTAGTTATAATATGCAATAGAAACATTTTTAATTACTTTCATAAAAATAAATATATGGCTTCAACGATGAAACTTCTATAGATATTTTATTGTAAATACCAACCTCAATAGTAATATCCGCCCATTCGTTTGAAGATCTCGGTTTCCAACTAGCAGGTTGCAGTTTAAGTAGATAGATAGTACTTACAATCTATTGATCACAGAGCAGTGACCGATATTATGTATGTCATATTCTTCTTAGTGCTAATTAAATTCTGTAGATCAGGTTGCAGTGTATCTACTAGTCTAAGTGACTCGACATCGTATGCACTATGTTGAGATGTACGATGGTGGCTAATGGTAGCAGACAAGAAACCCTACATCATAAGATCCTTACACACAAATAAAGTGACTGTGTGATGACTACAGAGATCCCTGTAATTGGTAAATGAGTAACATTATATTTACGTCAAACACTGACATATAAGAAAAAAGTTAATGTTGTACGTCTTAGTACCTTTCCATCAAAACCTCATATCAAGTCAAAAAACGTTGAAGTTGTTCGCACATTGTTAGTGATTAATTGAACAGGACAATAGTGAATGATGATTAGATGATACCTATTGATAACATCAAAACCAAAGGAGAAAAGAACATGATCTTTTGCGAAACAGGTTGATCTAGATTTCATGTAAAACTCATTCACTCTTTTACTTGAATATATACTTGCTTGGAAGACAATTCGTCCTACAAATTAAACTTATAAGTAATAAATAAGAAAGTTTATCAACGAAATAAATAATTGAAAACAAAAAAAGAACAAAATAATACTGTTAGTGGAAAGAAGTTTAGATAACTAAAAAAAGTAACATAGTTCGGAACTAGCAAGATGTTGAAATAGTAGAAATAGTGGATAGTTCCTTTTTTAAATCAGGAGTATCACAAACGTAATGAGAAAAACGAATATATATATATATATATATATATATATATATATATGCACAGAAGATATCAAGATACGCTAAAACAGTCATTTCAAATTGTCATAACGAACAATAAATGACGGAATAACAGTATAACACTGATAAGATGGGCGTACATATACCGCTTAGCTCGAAGTGGAATGCTAGCAGGCATAGATGTGAGTTGGAAGAAAGGTCATGGTGGGACGTAAGTTGTTACTAACGACATAGAAATTGCTAGTTGGGATACAAAAAGTAGTTGTAACCGTTGATTGAGGAATTCCGGTGACATGACGCAAAATATTATATACATATATAGTCAGTTATTTAATTTTTCAAACATAAACATTAAATAACAAGAATATCCATGTAATTTTCAACTAAGTTATTCTTAATTCCACTAGGTAAAGCAACACTGATATTAAAGAAAGAAGGGAAATGGTGTCAAAGGAAAGGAATTGGACACTTGGAAATCTTACAGACGTGGTCTATTAATGACATTAAAACAAGATCTACTGTAAATGTATCAAGATATTCACTTGAAAAGAAATAAAGCAATTTCGAAATTCAACATCAGTATAAACTTCATTTCAATAATTATTCACTAGTTTTAAAATAATAATAAAAGTCTATTCAAGGAATTGAAATTATCCTTAATTCATCACAAATGTAAAATTATTCGACTGGTTAAACTAGTGAGAATAGTTCTAGAAAGTAGAGTGATGTAATCAGTGCTAAACTAATGCTAGACGAGATTATTATTCAATTTGACAAATTTATTATATGTATTAAAACAACATAAATGAGGAGATTGAAATACGAGAAGAAAAAGCTCTAAAATTCTTAATGAAGTAAATAATATAGAATGGTATATTATGGAAAACAGGTATATGATGTAAACTCTTTAATTTCTGTCTATTTATTTTATGAAAAGTTAGCCAATTTTACTATAAAAACAAGTTATACTAGTTTTTACTTGTAAGCGTTTATAGATTCTCCTGGTATTAATGTTTATGAATGCAACTGATTAATGTCTATTGTCAAATGTATATCATAGACAAATTAATGATTATGCGAACTTAATACTTTAGTGGATAATGTGTTGATGCTTATAAGGTAAAATAGTGAGTTAAAAGATTATTGAGACCACCAAAACCCGTATGAAGAAATATTCAAGTGACGAGTCCAACACCGGATGAAACCCAGGTTGTAGATTTCATTGATAACCTTAATTCAAATTTAATAAAAGCTATGCAAGTGGCCAGAATGGAAATCGTTCGAAAGCACCAATCAATATATAACGACATGTAGGTTACTAATAAATTTTTAATGAACATAAACATTTCGATCTTATGGTGGTCAACTTCAGCAAAAATAACTCCACTGATTGTAACATTGGATGATACAGGTTTGAATATGACAAGGATCATCAATTCCTGCAGCACTATTAGTTAGTACTAATCAACAAGAAATACCTCAAATATTCATGGAAATAATAATCTAACTTGAACTCAATTAGCCCGATTTATTTATATAAACAATAAATGCCCTGGTACGGCCGAGGGTGGTGAATGTGCTCCTCCTCTAAAAATGCTCTCTAATGGCCACACATATAAAACCAATGACATGGAAGTCCTACTCACTGCCTTCTCGTGGTGGGGTCTTCTTTACGAAGTTGAAACGATGAGGAGCGAATGTCTGGCACTTTAATCGAGTTGGCGGATACAGAGGATCCATCTAGGGGAGTTGGAGAACCCTAAATCCAAATAAACGGTCCACATGGGCTCCAAGATCCTGTGGGAATAAATGGTGGATGAACCTATTGCTGGTCACCGGCTACCATGAGACTGTGTCTCCTAACGTTGCTCCACTGCCTTATGGATTAGACCTCTCGGTTAAAGAATCGGGAATCGGCCCCATAAGTAGACCACCTGCTTCGGTTCGAGCGCACGGGCAGTATCCTAGCCCACACACACAAACAAATCGGATGATTTGTATGGCATATATATATATATATATATATATATATATATATATATATACATATTCGGAGCCTCCTTGTACCAATGTATATGTGCTTAAATAAAATGAATAAATTAGCCCAAATCATTAAACGATATGTGTTAGTTTTAGATGACAGATTAGTGTTGTGAAACAAAATATATATTCGAAGCATCTCGATAATGCAGTTATTTTGAATCTAGATACTACTATGAAGTGGCTGAATATATGCGATAATCATAGCTAAGGTAAAAGTACACCTTTTTATGAGTCATCAGAACAACAAAAAAGTAGATTACTACTATTACAATAGGTTAAAATAGTTAATGAAAACAACAGAAAATACATAATACTATTGGATAACTGGTCACAAGTATTTAGACATTACTGATGCCCTAAATTAGATGTTAATGCTAGACAGTAGTTAGTAGTCGTCAAAATTAAGAAAAGACAGTGATTATTAACCAATCATTTCATGAAATAAATCAACATCATGCACAATCAATAGACCAATTAGAATCTAACATAAAATTGTGTATATAATCAAGAAAGATTCACTTTCATAATTCATTATAGAAAGCCATGATGAAGTAATGTGAACTGACTACTATGGAAATTAAATATCAATCAGTTAATCATAGAAGTATGGAATATTTTAAAGCATAAATATCTTTAAAAAATGACAGACCAATAATTCAATCGATATACAATCCGTATTTTATCTACATAATAAATAAATTGTACTTTCTTTAACACGAATCATGTAATCGATAAACATAAGTAACTATTCAACATGGAATTAAAATGTTTATTTATCAAAGAAAACAACTAATCTGCCTTGCAACATTATGTTTGTATATTTATGGTATGTTATTATTTGTGATGACAACATATGCAATCCAGTTATATGAAAATAATTCATTACAATCTGATCATCATATTGTAGACTATTTACGTGGATCAGAACACTTCCGACCATGTATTGAACAATCGGATCCAATACATCCAACCGCTAAAATGATTATTTGTAGAGGAGATATTACATCACAGTTTGGCAATAGATTACCAATAATAATTCAATCCGATAATAACTATTCAATTAGTACTATACATATTGAAAATAATCCCGATATTGAAATATGCACATCTGGTACATTTGAAAATATTATGAAGAATAATCCTAATGACATAGCAACATATCGTGGAATTATTGAACGTAAACTTATTTTGAAAGGATTATCTTTACACATATTTCGACATGGATGTTTTAAAGGTTTATCTGATCTGGAAGTACTTTATATTAGAAATTTTTTCAGTGGAGAATTGAAAAAAGTATCTGGAAATTTATTTCAAGAATTAAAAAATCTACACAATTTAAAATCACTTCATTTAGAAAATATTGATATGTCTATTGGTATACCACAGTATGCATTTCATGGTTGGATAAAACATTTGGAAATTATAACCATGATAAACAATAATTTGAATAGAATACATAATGAAGCATTTCCATTTAATAATTTAGAAAATAAACTCTTAAAATTAAGAATAGAACAACAAACTGGTGATGGTTGGAAATTATTAGAAAATTCTCATATATGGGCAAAATATTTGTATACATTAAAATTATTGAGTTTGGATGGAACAAATTTACAAAGGGCAATAGGTAATACACTGTCATCATCTGATGATAGTCAAAAAACAAATATAAAATCTAACGAAACAAGTTTAAACTTAAATTTAGGTGATTATGTTAATAGAAATTTAGAACAGTTAAATATTCAAAATTGTGGACTAACTAATCTCATTGACAACAATGAAAATAAAGATTTATTTAGTTTAAACTTATTTTATTTAGGTAAACAATTGAAGCAATTATACATAGGTTTTAATCAATTTCCTAATTTTAACTTTTTAACTGCCATTAAAAAATTTCATCATCTTCAATTACTTAGCATCAATTCTAATCAAATACCATTGGAGAAATTACCTGAAACATTTACTGTAC